TCCTGGGCTCATACAGTCCTCCCACTTTGTGTACAGCCTCCTAAAGTGCTGGGATTACAGGTGTAAACCACCACACCCAACCTCAATCTTGTTGTGATCTGTGACAACCAATACAGCTACTTAGTGGTTGATGGGTGGACAGTGTACACAGCGTGGACATACTGGACAAAGGAATGAATAACTGTTCCAGGTAGGATGGCAGGATATTTTATCACGCTACTCAGAACAGCATAAAACTTAAGACAAATTATTTCTGGAGTTTTTCATTTAATATTTTCAAATTTCAGGTGGCTGCTGTAACTGAAGGCAGGCAAAGTAAAACTGTAGAAACAGGGTGACCACTGGACTGCTGGTTTCATTCGACGCCGTTTTGAGAGTGCATTACCACAATAAGCACTCTTAACAATGTAAACCAGGGGCCAAGGGATGCAGCTTCCACTCTACCTCCTTCCCCAGGAAAGACCACCTTGGTAAATACAGAATAGCAAATGCTTAAGTGAAACACTGGAGAACTTTCGGCCCTATACTTACTATTTAACATTTACACAGCATCTTCACATTTCCAAAGCACAGTACCAACATTTATTAATCCTCACAACACCCCTGTGAGGTAGGTCAATATGCCCTTTATAGTAGAGAACTGAGGCAGAGATTGAGGAAAGCTGCCCTAGGCCACTGGGCAGCTGAGGAAGGGGCTAGACCTGGATCCAGAAGCTAGGGCTTTGGGTCCTGCATTCATCCACTGGCGGACATCACATGGGCTTATTTTTACCAGTGAATTTACGTAAAGGACAAAACACACTCAGCCAGCAACAGAAAATCAAGAGTTCAAACAGCAGTGGGGAACATGTCAGTAAACGAGACAAAACACTGACCAGCGCATACATGAGGCAAGAGAACATGCTGCTGAGGAAGGCTGGAATCATCACGACAGGTGAGAACAGGCGCTCAGGTAGGTTCAGGAAAATGTAAACAAACTAGGAACCCATCCAAGTGGTGACAGGCCCAAATGCCTATGGTCTCCAAGTCGTAGAAAAATTAGAAAAAGATAGTGGAAAAACCCAACCACTCCACCTAACTTTACACTAGGAATGACAGTAACGTTCATTAGAAAGGTCGATAATGTCTGTAATGTAACTACTGGTGATAGTATCCTATTTGTATGCCAACCTGTATCCCAAGTATTCTACTTTTCCTTCCCCACAGACAACAAGTGTTGTTCTTTACAGCAGACCTCTTTCCCTCTACATACCAATCTATACGCTGGCATAACTACTAAGTGGCTCAATGGTGTCTCGTACTTAATTGGCTGAGCTAGGGACGGAATCTGGGAAATCCCAAGACTGTACTTTGCTCCTGTATTTCAGGAGTAACTGTCTCTAAGCTGCCTCTCTCCGATTCCACCTTTTACACACAGAGGAGCAGTTCATTCTTTTGTGAAGGGCTTGGTGGACTTTGTTCAAGATGCCATTTCAAAAGAAATGAGAAAAAAGAAAAACTAAGACCTGCAGTGTAAAGCATTACATGGGAGTAGATTTATTACAGCTACTCCACATTTTCCAGAGTGATACAATGACCACAGAGTTAAAAACTACCACTGTTATCGCTGTTTATTTTACAATAATTGGTTTAGTCTACAAGTTTAAGGCAAACATACTAATGCATTTACTTTTCTTCAGAAATCATACTTATAAAGATTACATAAAATCTGTCTCAAAACTTCTAAGAAATATTCAGTGATTAAAAATAAGTCTGATTAAGATGCTTTACCAGGATACATGAATGAACTAAGGTGGTATATAATGCTTTTAAAAATAAAATTTAAAAAAAAATTCAAAAAAGGCAATCTTTATCTTGTTTGAACAATGCATTCTGAAAAGGTTAAACTTGAAAAATTATTTAAAGGTAAGTAAGATTGGCAGCCATAAGGAATACTATTTATAAAATAAACACAGTTATAGAGGCTAGTTTAAAGAAGAATGAACTTTGGACTTCTGAGTATGACGAGTGCACGATGATGGCCCACTGTCATGGGGAACACAGTGCGGCGTCACAGCACACAGACTGGCATCGTCGGTGCTGTGTGCTGCTCTGCTCCATGGTTCTCAGAGAGGAGATGTACTTTGTCAGCTGTTTTCTGTTTGTTTCCAGTGAGCATAAATGCTTAACATCATTAAGAAAACAAAAATAAAATCTGAAGGAAGGCAGCCCTTTTTAACAGGAAGGCGGAGTGTGGCTTATGTGTCTCCATTTAACACTGCTAGGCAGTTCTGCAGCAACTGCAGGTTACCCTAAAAAAGGAAGAAAAAATAAATTATAAATTTTAGTTCAAAACAGTTTAGAAGACTCCTACTGAAACCACACTGTTAGAAACCACATAAATAACAGTGTTAGAGGTCACATAACTTTGATATATTAGAAATTTAAAAAGTCATTCATTATATACACATAAAGGCTTAAAGATATAAAATTAACATAATTTGTTTCACGTACAATACTTTTTTTTTTTTTTTTTTGAGATGAAGTCTCTCGCTCTGTCGCCCACCTAGGCTGGCGTGCAGTGGTGCAATCTCAGCTCACTGCAACCTCCACCTCCCAGGTTCAAGTAATTATCCTGCCTCAGCCTCCTGAGTAGCTAGAATTACAGGCACATACCACCATGTTTGGCTAATTTTTGTATTTTTTTAAGAGATAGGATTTTGCCATGTTGGCCAGGCTGGTCTCGAACTCCTGACCTCAGGTGATCCACCTGCCTCAGCCTCCCAAAGTGCTGGGATTACAGGCATAAGCCACTGTGCCTGGCCAATTTTTGTATTTTTAGTAGACACAGGGTTTCACCATGTTGGCCAGGATTGTCTTGATCTCCTGACCTCGAGTTCTGCCCACCTCGGCCTCCCAAAGTGCTGATATTACAGGCATGAGCCACCATGCCTGGCCAGTAGATAAATTTCTATTTAGGAAATTATTAATTTTTGGGTTACTTGACATGTTCTAGTGAGTACAAAACATGCACTTTGTGTTCAAGTTTAACTACTGAACAATTTCTGATTGTATGACAGGCTTTTTTTTTTTTTAATTGAGAAGGAGTCTCGCTCTGTCGCCCAGGCTGGAGTGCAGTGGCACAATCTTGGCTCACTGTAGTCACAATCACTTGGCTCGCAATCTTGCCTCCTAGATTCAAGCGATTCTCCTGCCTCAGCAAACTGAGTAGCTAGGACTACGGGCACTTGCCACCATGCCCAGCTAATTTTCTATTTTTAGTACAGATGGGGTTTCACCATATTGGCCAGGCTGGTCTTGAACTCCTGACCTTGTGATCCACCCGCCTTGGCCTTCCAAAGTGCTTGGATTACAGATGTGGAGCCACCATGCCACGCCCTGATTTTTAAATGTTTTTTATTAAGGAAGACTTTTTAAAAAACAACTAAAGTGATACTGCCTTCCATATTAGGTAATAGACTCTTTCAGACCTGATCATTAGAGACATTATAGATATACATTCTTAACTTAATTAAATAATCTTTAAAATCCCTCTCAATTCTAAGATTCTCTATTCTTAAAATTAAGGTTTAGGCCAGATTTTATATTAACTACAAGAGGCTTAATTCAAAGTAAACAACTAATGTAAAAAAGACCAGAGGACCAGGCATGGTGGCATACACCTATAATCCCAGCTACTTGGGAGGCTGAGGCAGGAGGATCAACTGACCTCAGGAGTTTGATGCTATACTGGACAACATAGCAAGACTCCAGCTCTAAAATATAATTAAATAAATACATTTAAAAAGCAAAACAAACAAACAAAAAGGCCAGGAATGGTGGCTGATGCCTGTAAGCCCAGCAGTTTGGGAGGCTGAGGAGGGTGGATCACCTGATGCCAGGAGTTCGAGACCAGTGTGGCTAACATGGCGAAACCCCATCTCTACTAAAAATACAAAAATTAGCCAGGTATGATGGCACGCACCTGTAGTCCCAGCTACTCAGGAGGCTGAGGCAGGAAAGCTGCTTGAACCTGAGAGGCAGAGAGAGGTTGCAGTGAGCCAAGATCACGCCACTGCACTCCAGTCTGGGCAACACGGTGAGACTCCGTCTCAAAAAAAACCTCAAGACTGGTTGGGCACAGGGGCTCAGGTCTGCAATCCCAGCACTTTGGGAGGCTGAGGCAGGAGGATCATTTGAGGTTGGGATTTTGAGGACAGACTGGCCAACACAGTAAAATACCGTCTCTGTTAAAAATACAAAATCAACTGGGTGTGGTGGCACATACCTGTAATCCCAGGTATTCAGGAGGCTAAGGCATGAGAATTACCTGAACCCAGGAGGCAGAGGTTGCAATGAGATGAAATCGTGTCACTGAACTTCAGCCTGGGCAACTCAGCAAGACTGTCTCAAAAAACAAAACAGAACAAAACACCCAAACCAACTATTTTGAAGCAGTGAAATAATCTTGTAAAATCTGATTCCAGTTCTGAAAGAGTTGTCACAGTATCCCTATGAAAACTGAGATTAAAGAATTATCAATGTCATAACTGATTCATTTCTAATTACATGTAACTTAAATTATTAACTCTTTATTACACTACCTTTGCATGCTTCAGTTCTAACTCTGCCAGTTCCACTAAATTTTTTCTGAATGCAGCAACTCTTCTTGTCTTAAAATCTATAAGTTCTGTGAACAAAAAAATTAGAATTATTTAATTTACAGAATAGTCTTTTTTTTTTTTTTTTTAAGACGAGGTTTCACCATGTTGGTCAGGCTGGTCTTGAACTCCTGACCTCAGGTGATCCACCCGCCTTGGCCTCCAAAGTGCTTGGATTATAGACGTGAGCCACCACGCCCAGCCTTTATTATTTTTATTTTACTTTTTAGAATAGTCATAAAGCATACCTTGTGATTAAAGGTTAACATAACAACAGTACCTTGTTTTGCAGACTCAGATATTTTTTCAAATTTCTGACAACATAATTGTTGGGAAGTTTCAGCCTGCAGAACATCTTTATTTTTTGCTCTTGCTTTATCCAGTGCTTTATTAGCATTTTCATAATCCACTAGTGATCTGGACCTTCGATACAGGAGATCCTGTGAAACAGAATGCTTCACAATAGTATATATACTGTATGTTTCCAGTAGTCACACCCAGCCGCCATCACCACCACCATAACCATCAGTACTAACACTTACATAGTGAACGCTACATGCCAGTTACTCTAATCTTTAAAGATTTTTGTAGAGACGGGGCCTTGCTATGTTGCCCAAGCAGGTCTCAAACTCCTGGTCTCAAAGTGATCCTCTTGTTTCAGCCTCCTAAAGTGGACTGATTACAGGCATGAGTCACTGCACTCTCCCCTTTTTTTAAATAACAGCTTTACTGAGATAATTGATATACCACATAACTCACCATTTAAAGTATGTAATTCAATGTTTTTTAGGAAGCTCACAGAATTGAGCATCACAACTTTTGGAACACTTTCATCACCCAAAGAGAAACCACATCCCCATTAACAGCCATTTGTCACTTCCCCATGTGTGCCCATCCCTAGACAACCACTAATATGCAACCTCTACAGATCTGCCTATTCTGGACATTTCATATAAATGGAATCATGTGTGCTTTTTGTGCCTGGCTTCTACCACTTAGCATGTTTCAAGTTCATCTATGTTGCAGCACAAATCAGTATGTCCGTCCTTTCTATTGCTGAATAATATTTCCCTATATGGATATATCATATTGATTTATTTATTCATGTTGATAGGCACTTGGTTTATTACCACTTTTTGGACATGATGAATAATGCTGCTGTCAACATTTGCACACAAGTGTTTATGTGGGCATGGTTTCATTTCTCTTTGATTTCTCACTATCGAGGAGTGAAACTGTTGAGTCATATGATAACTCTACACCAAACCTTTGAGAAACTGCAATATGGTTTTCCATAGCGACTGAACATTTTACATTCCGACCAGTACCATATGACAGTTCCAACTTCCTCACATCCTTGCCAATACTTATTTTAATTTTTATTTATTTTACTTAAATTCAAACATACTCCAGTATATATATATATATATATATATATTTTTTTTTTTTTTTTTTTTTTTGAGACAAAGGCTTGCTCTGTCTCCCAGGCTGGCGTGCAGCAAGCAACATGAGCTGGGCACACTGTAACCTCCACCTCCTGGGTTCCAGCGATTATCCTCCCTCAGCCTCCCGAGTTGCAGGGATTAAAGGTGCCCGCCACCATGCCTGGCTAATTTTTGTATGTTTAGTAGAGATGAGGTTTCACCACATTGGCCAGGCTGGTCTCGAACTCCTCACCTTGTTCCCCTCAGACTCCCAAAGTGCTGCAATTATAGGCATGAGTCACCACACCCAGCCTTCTTTTTTTTTCTTTTTTTAAGATGGGGTTTCACCATGTTGGCCAGGCTGGTCTTGAACTCCTGACTTCAGGTGATCCACCCACCTTGGTATCCCAAAGTGCTAGGATTACAGGCGTGAGCCACCACGCCACCACACCTGGCCAGCCTTCCTTTTTTTTTTTTGAGATTGAGTTTCGCTCTTGTTACCCAGGCTGGAGTGCAATGGCGCAATCTCGGCTCACCGCAACCTCCGCCTCCTGAGTAGGTGGGATTACAGGCACATGCCACCATACCCAGCTAATTTTTTTTTTTTGTATTTTTAGTAGAGACGGGGTTTAACCATGTTGACCAGGATGGTCTCAATCTCTTGACCTCGTGATCCACTCGCCTCGGCCTCCCAAAGTGCGGGGATTACAAGCTTGAGCCACTGCGCCCAGCCTCTTTTTTTAAAATTAAGGTCATCTAGTGGGTATAAAGTGGTATCTCATACTTTTTTTTTTTTTTCCTGGGATCGAGTCTTGCTCTGTCATCTAGGCTGGAGTGCAGTGGTGCAATCTCGGCTCACTGCAACCTTTGCTTCCCAGGTTCAAACAATTCTCTGCCTCAACTTCCTTAGTAGCTAGGATTACAGGTGCCTGCCACCATGCCTGGCTGTTCTTTGGTCTTTTTAGTAGAAACAGCATTTCACCATGTTGGCCAGCCTGGTCTCAAACTCCTGATTTCAAGTGGTCCACCCACCTTGGCCTCCCAAAGTGTTGGGATTACAGGCGTAAACCACCATGACAGGCCTATCTGATACTTCTGATTTGCATTTCCCTGACAGCTTGTGAGCATATTTTCATGGTTTAATGGCCATTTGTGTGAGCCACAATGCCCGGCCTTGCATATTTCTTTTTCTTACTTTTCTTGAGATGGAGTCTTAGTCTACTGCCCAGGCGGGAGGTGCAGTGACATGATCTCGGTTCACTACCACCTCCACCCCTCAGGTTCAAGTAATTCTCCTACCTCAGCCTCCCAAGTATCTGGAATTACAGGCATGCACCACTGCACCCGGCTAATTTTTTAAAATATTTTTAGCAGAGACTGGGTTTTATCATATTGGCCAGGCTGGTCTCAAACTCCTGACTTCAGGTGATCCACCTGTCTCGGCCTCCCAAAGTGCTGGGATTACAGGCATGAGCCACTGCACCTGACCAGCACATTTCTTTTTATTAGGTAGTACTATTCCATTGTAAGGCTACATGATGACGTGCTTATCTCATTATCCATTAGACATTTGCATTGCCAGTTTTCAGCTAAATAAATAAATAAATAAATGTATATTTATTTATATAGTTATAAATAAAGCTGCTGTGAACATCTGTATGGACATATGCTTTTATTTATTTCTTTCCTTCTTTTTAATAGAGATAGGATCTTATTATGCTGCCAGGCTGGTCTTGAATTCCTGGCCTCCAGCCATCCTCCTGCATTTGCCTCCCAAAGTGTTGGGGTAACAGGGGAGAGCCACCACGCCCAGCCCTGCTTTCATTTCTCTTGACTAAATACCTAGGAGTGAACTGACTAGATCACAGGATAGTATATCTCACTTTTTAAGTACTATGAAAGTTTTCCAAGGTGGTGTACCACATTCCCACCAGCAGTATACGGTGGTTCCATTCGCTATGTATCTTCGCCAGAATTTTCATTTTAGCCATTCTAATTAAGGTGTGTCGTAATACTTTGTTGTAGTTTTAATTCTGACAAGTAAGTTTGAATTATTTTTTACAGTTACTAAGAAATTGTTATTGGCCGGGCACAGTGGCTCACACCTGTAATCCCAGCACTTTGGGAGGCTGAGGCGGGTGGATCATGAGGTCAAGAAATCGAGACCATCCTGGTCAACATGATGAAACCCCGTCTCTACTAAAAAAATACAAAAAATTAGCTGGGCATGGTGGTGCGTGCCTGTAGTCCCAGCTACTCAGGAGGCTGAGGCAGGAGAATTGCCTGAATCCAGGAGGCGGAGGTTGCGGTGAGCTGAGATCGCGCCATTGCACTCCAGCCTGGGTAACAAGAGCGAAACTCCATCTCAAAAAAAAAAAGAAATTGTTATCTATTAGTAACCACATTTGGCTGGGAACAGTGGCCCACATCTATAAGCCCAACACCTTGGGAGGAACAGGGAGGATCACATGAGCCCAGGAGTTTGCAACATACTGAGACACTTGTCTCAACAAAAAATTAAAACAAAAAACCCCATCACATTTGATAATAAATTTAAAGTCTTCAAAAGTGAGTATTTTAGCACTGCCCATCCAATGTAAATAGTTTGTATGACACAATTTGATATGAACAGTACATTTATAAGTACCTCAGAATTCAAAGTTGGCTGAGTGTGGTGGCTCATGCTTGTAATCTCAGCACTCTGAGAGGGTGAGGCAGGTGGATCACCTGAGGTCAGGAGTTTGAGACAAGCCTGGCCAACATGGCAAAACCCCGTCTCCACTAAAAGTGTAAAAATTAGCCTGGCCAACATGGCAAAACACCGTCTCCACTAAAAGTGTAAAAATTAGCCAGGCATGGTGGTGCGTGCCTATAATCCCAGCTTCTCAGAAGGCTGAGGCAGGAGCATCACTTGAAGCCGGGAGGCAGAGGTTGCAGTAAGCCAAGATCATGCCACTGCACTCTAGCCTGGGCAACAAGAGAAGGATTCAGTCTCAAAAAAAAAAAAAAAAATGCCAGGCGCAGTGGCTCTCGCCTATAATTCCAGTACTTTGGGAGGCCGAGGCAGGTGTTTCACGAGGTCAGAAGATTAAGACCATCCTGGATAAAATGGTGAAACCTCGTTTCTACTAAAAATACAGAAAATTAGCCAGGCATGGTGACATGTGCCTGCAGTCCCAGCTTCTCGGGAGGCTGAGGCAGGAGAACTGCTTGAACCTGGGAGGCAGAGGTTGCAGTGAGAGAGACTGCACCACCGGACTCCTGCCTGGGCGACTCTGTCGCAAAAAACAGAAACAAAAAAAGAAATCCAGCTGGGCACGGTGGCTCATGCCTACAATCCCAGCACTTTGGGAGACCAAGATAGGTGAATTGTGAGGTCAAGAGAAGGAGACCATCCTGGCCAACATGGTGAAACCCCGTCTCTACTAAAAAAAGTACAAAAAATTAGCCGGGTGTGGTGGTGGGTGCCTATAGTCCTAGCTACTTGGGAGGCTGAGGCAGAAGAATCACTTGAACCTCGGAGGTAGCGGTTGCAATGAGCTCAGATTCCACCACTGCACTCCAGCCGGGTAACAAAGCAAGATTCCGTCTCAAACAAAAAAAAAAAAGAAAAAGAAAAAAGAAATCTTTTTGCAATATGTGGCTCACGTCTGTAATCCCAGCACTTTGGGAGGCTGGAGCAGGTGAATCACCTGAGGCCAGGAGTTCAAGACTAGCCTGGCCAACATAAGGAAACCCCGTCTCTACCAAAAATACAAAAATTAGCTGGGCGTGGTGGCATTCGCCTATAATCCCAGTTACCCAGGTGGCTGTGGCAAGAAAACCACCTGAACCCAGGAAATGGAGGCTGCAGTGAGCCAAGAGACTGCACTCTAGCCTGGGTGACAGAGTGAGACTCCATCACAACAAACAACAACAACAACAACAATGGAATCCTTTCATAATACAAGGCTACGTGGCTCACGTCTTTGGGAGGCCAAGGCAGGCGGATCACCTAAGGTCAGGAGTTTGAGACCAGACTGGCCAACATAGGGAAACCCCGCCTCTACTGAAAATACAAAATTTAACTGGGCATGGTAGTTTGAGCCTGTAATCCTAGCTACTCAGGAGGCTGGGGCAAGAAAATTGCTTGAACCCTGGAGGTGGAGGTTGCAGTGAGCAGAGATACTACACTCTAGCCTGGGCGACAGAGTGAGACTCCATCTCAAAAAATAATAATAATAAATAATAATAAAAGAAATCCTTTAGCAATACAACTGTTATTTGAGGGTTTTACTTTTGTTTTCCAAGGCAGTTTACCTGAAGAAATAGACCAAATTCTTTTTTTTTTTTTTGAGACAGAGTTTCGTTCTTGTTACCCAGGCTGGAGTAAAATGGCGTGATCTCGGCTCACTGCAACCTCCGCCTCCTGGGTTCAGGCAATTCTCCTGCTTCAGCCTCCTGAGTAGCTGGAATTACAGGCATGCGCCACCATGCCCAGCTAATTTTTTTTTTTTTTTGGTATTTTTAGCTGAGACGGGGTTTCACCATGTTGACCAGGATGGTCTCAATCTGTTGACCTCGTGATCCACCCGCCTCGGCCTCCCAAAGTGCTGGGATTACAGGCTTGAGCCACCGCGCCCGGCCTTCTTTTTCTTTTTTGAGACAGAGTATCACTCTGTTGCCCAGGCTGGAGTGCAGTGGCATGATCTTACCTCACTGCAACCTCCACCTCCCAGGTTCAAGCTATTCTCCTGCCTCGGCCTCCAGAGTAGCTGGGATTATAGGTGCCCACCACCATGCCCAGCTAATTTTTGTATTTTTAGTAGAGATGTGGTTTTGACACGTTGGCCAAGGTGGTCTCGAACTCCTGACCTTCAGGTGATCCACCCATCTCACCACCTCAGCCTCCCAAAGTGCTGGGATTACAGGCATGAGCAAGCTCCCCAGGCCTCATTTTTTTTTTTGAGTTGCAGTTTCACTCTTATCCAGGCTGGAGTGCAACGTCACTATCTCGGCTCACTGCAACCTCCACCTCCTGGGTCAAGCAATTCTCCCGCCTCAGCCTCCTGAGTAGCTGGGATTACAGGCACCTGCCACCACGCCCAGCCAATTTTTGTATTTTTAGTAGAAACAGGGTTTTGTTTTTGTTTTGAGATGGGAGTCTTGCTCTGTAGCCCAGGCTGGAGTGCAGTGGCGTGAACTCAGCTCACTGCAACCTCCACCTCCTGGGTCCTGGTTCAAGCAATTCTCCTACCTCAGCCTCCCAAGTAGCTGGGATTACAGGCACAAGCCACCATGCCCAGCTAATTTTTGTAGTTTTTTAGTAGAGACGGGGTTTCACCATGCTGGCCAGTCTGGTCTTGAACTCCTGACCTTGTGATCCACCTGCCTCGGCCTCCCAAAGTGTTGGGATTACAAGCATGAGCCACCGTGCCAGGCCTGAGACAGGGTTTTACCATGTTAGCCAGGCTGGTCTTGAACTCCTGACCTCAGGTGATCCGCCCACCTTGGCTTCCCCTAAGCATAGGGATTACAGGTATGAGCCACCACACCTGGCTGCAAATTCACCTTTTTAAAGTTCTAGATTATATCAGAAATATAATAAAGATGAAACTTTTATGTGGGGTTTCCCACATAAAATACGTACAGTTGTACACATACCTACAAATTCTAAAAGGAGAAATAAAATTTCTATTTGAAAATATAATTTAAAATCATATAAAGGAGATAAATTCATCATTAACAATCTGAAGTCTAACAAACTCTCAAGAAATGGCTGTTTGCCGGGCGCGGTGGCTCATGCCTGTAATCCCAGCATTTTGGCAGGCTGAGGCAGGTGGATCACCTGAGGTCAGGAGTTCAAGACCAACCTGACCAATATGGTGAAACCCTGTCTTTAAAAAAAAAGGCTGTTTATAAAATGGCTTATTTTAAAAAAGATTAAAATTACCTTAGCAGCTTGAGATTCTCTTAAGTAATATTTTAAAAGGTCAGAAAGTTTGAGGTCCTCATCAGCAGACACTCGGGCTTCTATTTTCTGAAAAGAAGAAAAAAATTAAGTTCTTAATCAACAACTACATTCTACTCTCAGTGGTTTCCTTCTTACCTACTTAATTTCCGACTTAATTTTAACTATTATAGTTAAAAAATTGAAGTTTTAACTATAATACCCATTCCTATTTTATCTACCTTTCCTTCCCTTTTTGCTTCTATTAGCCTGTTACTTTTCTTTGCAACTCTCACATAAAAGGAATAGAAATAAAGACCAGAGCAAACACTCATGAAATTATGGAAGGACTCTATAATTTTTTTCTTTGAGACAGAGTCTCGCTGTCACCCAGGCTGGAATGCAGTGGTGCAATCTCTGCTCACTGCAACCTCCACCTCCCAAGTTCAAGCAATTCTCCTGCCTCAGCCTCTTCAGTAGCTTGAATTATAGGTATGCACCACCATGTCTGGCTAATTTGTGCATTTTTAGTAGAGGTGGGGTTTCACCACGTAGGCCAGGCTGGTCTTAAACTCCTGACCTCAAGAGATCCGCCTGCCTCAGCCTCCCAAAGTGGTGAGATTACAGGTGTGAACCACCACGCCCAGCCAGACTATATTTGATTCAAGTACTTTGCTATAATAAGTTTCAGTATCATCTTTAAGCTTCATTAATACTTTCTCAAGCCACTGCACTCTAGCAGTCTGTCTCAAAAAAAAAAAAAAAATTTCTCTCTATGCATTTCTTGTTTCTTGAGAGGGAGTCTTGCTCTGCTGCCAGGCTGGAGTGCAGTGGTGCGATCTTGGCTCACTGCAACTCTCCCTCCTGGGTTCAAGCTATTCTCCTGCCTCAGCCTCCCAAGTAGCTGGGATTACAGGTGCATGCCACCATATTGGGCTAATTTTTTTTGTATTTTTGTAGTAGAGACAGGGTTTTGTCATGTTGGCCAGGCTGGCCTCAAACTTCTGACCTCAGATGATCCACCTGCCTTGGCCTCCCAAAGTGCTGGGACTACAGGTGTGAGCCACTGTGCCCAGCCTCTATTCATTTCAATTGTAATTGATATGTACACAGAATTTTAAAGCAAGGATGACTGGCATTGGTAGACTAGGTAATTCAATCTAATCTCCCTGCTGAGGACAACCAGAAAATTCAGTCAAAGCATTAATAAAATGTGCTTGAAGACACCACAGAACAATAAACAGATGTGGTATGTTTGAGGTGAGATGGAAGGGGAAGTAGCCAGATCAGACTAAAAAGATAGCTCTTCAGTGTGAAGGGACAGAGGATGAAGAAAAATGTATCAAGCAAATGAAATATATGGGACCTTGTTTATATCCTGACTCAAACTATACTATAAAAAGCCATTTATAAGACAATTGGTAAAATGTATACATTGGATATTTGATGATATTAAGGGGGAATCAGTAACAGTATTGACTATATTTAAAAATATATATTTTATATATATATATATATATATTTTTTTTTTGACAGAATTTCGCTCTTGTTGCCCAGGCTGGAGTGCAGTGGCGCGATCTCGGCTTACTGCAACCTCCACATTCCGAGTTCAAGCAATTCTCCTGCCTCAGCCTCCCGAGTAGCTGGGATTACAGGCATGAGCCACCATGCCCAGCTAATTTTGTATTTTTAGTAGAGACAGGGTTTCTCCATGTTGATCAGGCTTGTCTTGAATTCCCAACCTTAGGTGATCCACCTACCTCCGCCTCCCAAAGTGTTGGGATTACAGATACAAGCTACCATACCCGGCCAAAAATAATTCTTACACAAAAAAAAGAGACATATATGTATGAGGGACACAAAACAGAATGAAGATGGACTTTTTGGAATACAAGAACTTTAAGCAATGTAGAAAATGTTAATATTGATGAGGTGCAGTGGCTCATGTCTGTAATCCCAGTTTGGCCAACATGGTGAAACCCCATCTCTACTAAAAACACAAAAATTAGCCAGGAGTGGCAGCACACACCTGTAGTCCCAGGTACTTAGAAGGCTGAGGTAAGAGAATCCCTTGAGCCCAGGAGGTGAAGGCTGCAGTGAGCCAAGACTCTGCACCACTGCACTCCAGCCTGGGTGACAGAGCAAGACTCTGTCTTGGAGGAAAAAAAAAAAAAGAAGAAGAAAAGAAAAATGTTACTATTCAGAAACATGGTTAATACATTACAGAAATTCTTGTACTATTTCTGCAACTTTTCCGTAAGCCCAGAATTACTGTCAAGATAAAAAGTGAAAATAAGGCCGGGTGCCTTAGTAAGGCTCACATTTGTAATCCCACCACTTTGGGAGGCTGAGGTGGGTAGAACACTTGAGGTCAGGAGTTTGAGACCAGCCTGGCCAACATGGCAAAACCCCATTTCTACTAAAAGTACAAAAATCAGTCGGGCATAGTGGCTACTTGGGAGGCTGAGGCAGGAAAATCACTTGAACCTGGGAGGCAGAGGTTGCAGTGCGCTGAGATCACATCACTTCACTCCGGCCTGGACAATAGAGACTGCATCTCAAAAAAAAAAAAAAAGTTAAACTAAAACAACTATACACCCAGCAGAATGGCAAAAATTAAAAAGGTAGAAAATGATGCTAAGTTTTAACAAGCTTGTAGGACAACCTAAATGCTCATATTTATTCTTGTGGGCATGCAAACTGGCACAATAATTATGGGAAACAGTTTTGCAGTTTCTGCTGAAGCTTTTCACATGGTATTCTATGATCCATCAATTCCCCTCCTAGTTATATATAGCCAACAGAGTTGTATACTTGTGTTTAGAAGGTATACAATAATAATCTTATTATAAAGAAGTACAAACTAGAAACTATCCAAGTGCCTATAACAGAACAGATAAATTAATAAAATACTATACAGCAATAAGAATAAAGGAACCAGGGCAGGTGGCTCATGCCTGTAATCCCAATGCTTTGAAAGGTGAGGCAGGAATTTCTTTTTTCTTTTTTTGAGACAGAGTTTCGCTCTTGTTACCCAGGCTGGAGTGCAATGGCACGATCTCAGCTCACCACAACCTCCGCCTCCTGGGTTCAGGCAATTCTTCTGCCTCAGCCTCCTGAGTAGCTGGGATTACAGGCACACGCCACCATGCCCAGCTAATTTTTTGTATTTTTAGTAGAGACGGGGTTTCACCATGTTGACCAGGATGGTCTCGATCTCTTGACTTCGTGATCCACCCACGTCGGCCTCCCAAAGTGCTGGGATTACAGGCGTGAGCCACCGCGCCCAGCAGGAATTTCAATAGAGGCCAGGAATTCAAGACCAGCCTGGGCAATGTAGCAAGACTCCCTCACTATAAAAATTACCAAAAATTAGCCAGGCATGGTAACCAACATCTGTAGTCCTAACTACTTGGGAGGCTGAGGCAGGAGGATGCTTGAGCTTAAGAATTTGAGGCTGCAGTGAGTTATGATCATGCAAATGTACTCCAGCCTAGGAGGCAGAGCAAGACTCCATCTCAAAAAACAACAAAACAAAAAAAAAACCCGAATGTCTACTGTTAGAAGCTAGGACAGTGTTACTCTTGTAGGAAGGCAGTGCCTTGGAAGGCAGCTGAGGAGGAGGCAGGGAATCTGCATTGCTGGTAATTTTCTATTTCTTTTCTTTTCTTTGAGATAGGGTCTCTGTCACCCAGGCTGGAGTACAGTGGCACAATCATAGCTCACTATAACCTTGACTTCCTGGGCTCAAGAATCTTCCTGCCTTAGCCTCCCAAGTAGTTAGGACTACAGTTGTATGCCACCATGCCTGGCTAATTTCTGGAAACTTTTGTATAGAGGGGGTCTTACTACACTGCCCAGGGTGGTCGAACTCCTGGCCTCTACTGATCCACCTGCCTCACCCTTCAATGTACTGGGATTATGGGCATGTGCCACCTGGCCTGGTTCCCTTATTCTTATTGCTATAAAGTATTTAATTAATTAGTTTATCTGTTCCAGGAGGTGTTTTGTTTTGTTTTGTTTTCCGAGAAACAGGGTCTCCCTGCTCTGTTGCCCAGGATGGAGTGCAATTGCACAATCATAGCTCACTGCAGCCTCAAACTCTTGAGCTCAAGCATTCTGTTGCTTCGCGCCCCAAGCAGGTCTACAGGTTTGTACCACCACACCTGAATAATTTTAAAAATTTTTGTAGAGACAGCATCTTGCTATGTTTTCCTAGGCTGATCTCAAATTCCTGGGCTCAAGAGATCCTCCTGACTCGGCTCCCAAAGTGCTGAGATTATAGAGGCATTAAGACACTGCACCCAGAAGAATATGAACTTTTATACAAATACAAAAGGCCATAACAAAAAATTGCATTTCCTGAAAAACTCCCAATGGAATTCAAATCTGTTTCATCATCCTTCTGAAACATACCATCTTGCTCAATAAAGTTAAACAGAAACACAAGTTAACTATTACCACATGCAGAGATTTAGATTGCCAGAAGATTAATAATGATTACTTTTAAAAAATTTCATGAATTGTGGTTAAAAACCTTTAACATGAACTACTCTATGGGCACAACATTATGCAGTATATCTCTATAATTTAGTACTTACTCTTGTTTTATCGAACAGTTCTGAAACTTTGAGAAAAAACCTGAAAAGGAAAATATTTTCATCATATGCTACATTCGAAGTAATTTTCCATTTCAAATGCATAAGAATATGCTCCCAAACCATATTAATAATGAATACCTTCTCTCATTATAATTATATTCAACAGCCTTATTAACTGCAGGCTTCAGTTAGTTTGACAAAAACCTCTCTGTACTTCTAACAATAAAACCGATTATTTGACATCTGTTTACAGATAGAGTCTCACTCTGTTGCCCAGGCTACAGTGCAGTGGCACAGTCTCGGCTCACTGCAACCTCTGCCTCCTGGGTTCTAGCAATTCTCCTGCCTCAGCCTCCTCAGTAGCTGGAATCACAGGCACCTGTCCCCATGGCTGGCTAATTTTTTAATTTTTAATAGAGATAAGTTTTCACCTGGTTAAAAATTAGCCAGGTGTGGTGGTGCACACCTGTAGTCCCAGCTATTCAGGCGTCTAAGATGGAATGATGGCTTGAGTCCAGGCTGATCTTGGACTCCTGACTTCAAGTGATCTGCCTGCCTCAGCCTCCCAAATTGCTGGGATTACAGGTATAAGCCACTGCGCGGTCACATTTCATTTTAAAATGACAGTCTAAGACATACATTAAAAACATTTCTGTTGTTGAGACTAAGTCTCGCTCTGTTGCCCTAGCTGAAGTACAGTAGCACAATCTCGGCTCACTGCAACCTCTGCCTCCTGGGTTCAAATGATTCTCCTGCCTCAGCCTCCTTCGTAGCTGGGATTACAGGTGCCCACCACCATGCGTGACTAATTTTTGTATTTTTAGTAAAGAAAGGGTTTCACCATATTGGCCAGGTTGGTCTCAAACTCCTGACCTCAAGCAATCTGCCCACCTTGGCCTCCCAAAGTGCTGGGATTATAGGCGTGAGCCACCATACCTAGCCAACAAAATTTATCTTGATACATTTTAGCAAACAGGCTGAGGCAAACAGACCACCTGAGGCCAGTATGGGCAACACAGTGAAACCCTGTCTCTACTAAAAATACAAAAAATTAGCTGGGCGTGGTGGTGTAATCCCGTAATCAAACTACTGTTGAATAGTCTGGTGCTGGGATATTTTTAAATTGATATCAGCATTTGACAAACTCTTTAAACGTAAAAATAAATTCTTAAATAGAAATTGGCTATTCATTCTGCTTTTTTTTTTTTTTTTTTTTTTGAGATGGGGTATTGCTCTGTCACTCAGCTCTGGAGCAAACCTGTGGTCCCAGCTACTCAGGAAGCTGAAGCAAGAGGATCACTTGAGCTCAGGAGTTCAAGGCTGTAGTGCTCTATGACTACATCTGCCAACAGATGTATGACTACATCTGCCGCTACTGTATTCCAGCCCGGGCATCACAGCAAGACTCCCCTCTCAAAAAAAGGATGCGGGTTGGAGTATTCTATAAAATATGTAGTTAAAATGACATTATAAATGAATTAGGGCAAATACTACTCAAAGCAAAAACAATTTTATGAACTTTGCTTTAAAGAACTTGCTTTGACAGGTTTATTTTAGAGAACAGATGGCAAGGTTGACTTTTCTTCTTCTTCCTGATGAGTTGAGAATTAACTCTTTGGGAAGGTGGCATGTTAATGAGTGTAAGCTATCATACCTCACTTTGATGAAAAGCTTGACTTTTAAATATCTGAGACAGAATATACTAGAGAAAAGGTCAAGGATGTGGTTTAGAGAAAGGCATAGACTATGAAAATAGTTTTCCTGCTTAAATTTTTTTTTGAGACTAAGTCTTGCTCTGTTACCTGGGGTGGAGTACAGTGGTATGATCTTGGCTCACTGCAACCTCCACCTCCCAGGTTCAAGTGATTCTGATGTCTCAGCCTCCTGAGTAGCTGGGTTTACAGGTGTGCACCACCACATCTGGCTAATTTTTGTGTTTTTAAGAGACGGGTTTTTGGCATGTTCCCAAGCTGGTCTTGAACTCCTGGGCTCAAGTGATCCACCCGCCTTGACCTCTCAATGTACTGGGATTAAAGGCATGAGTCACTGCACTCAGCCTAAAGTTAAATTTTATTTTATTTTACTCTATTTTAGAGAAGGACTCTCTGTGGCCTAGACTGATCTCAAACTCCTGTGCTCAAGTAATCCTCCTGCTTCAGCCTCCAAAAGTGCTAAGATTACAGGTACAAGGCACCATCCACAGCTAAATGATTTTTCAACTGAGAATTAGATTTAGGGCCCAGGTGACTTTCACCTATAATCCTAGCACTTTGGGATGCCGAGGCGGGTGAACTGCTTGAGATCAGGAGTTCGAGACAAGCCTGGGTAACATGGCAGAACCCCGTCTCTACAAAAAATACAAACATTAGCCAGGCATAGTGGCTCATGCCCGTGGTCTCGGCTGCTTGGGAGGCCAAAGTGAGATCGCTTGAGTCCAGGAGGTGGAAGTCGCTGTGGGCCGAGATCACACCACTATACTCCAACCTGGGTAACAGAGTGATTCTGTCTCATAAATAAATAAATAAGTTTGGCTTAAACAGTATTACAAGAGCAACTAAAATTAACTGCAGTTAGATTTAAAATGAAAAGTTAACATCAAGTAAATAAAAAACAGCTGTGTAAGCAACCTTTCAAGGAGCTTTCCATACTCACATAAACAATACCTGCTACACTGGTTTGTCTGAAGATTGCCCTAGATTCACTCAACTATAAACTCTAGGCTGGGTGCAGTAGCTCAAGCCTGTAATGCCAGCACTTTGGGAGGCTTAGGTGGGCAGATCACCTGAGGTCAGGAGTTGGGAGACTGCCCTGGCCAACATGGTGAAACCCTGTTACTATAAAAATACAAAAATTAGCTGGGTGTGGTGGTGTACACCTGTAATCCCAACTACTTGGGTAGCTAAGTCACAAGAATTGCAAGATCCAAGCACTTTGGAGGCCAAGGCAGGCGGATCACCTGAGGTCAGGAGTTCAAGACCATCCTGGTCAACATGGTGAAACCCCGTCTCTACTAAAAAATACAAAACATTAGCTGGGCATGGTGGTGTACACCTGTAATCCTGTGGTGGTGTACACCTGTGCCTGTAGTCCCAGCTACTCAGGAGGCTGAGGCAGGAGAATTGCCTGAACCCAGGAGGCGGAGGTTGCAGTGAGCCGAGATCACGTCATTGCACTCCAGCCTGGGTAACAAGAGTGAAACTCTGTCTCAAAAAAAAAAAAAGTCAATCTGAGGTCGAGCACAGTGGCTCACGCCTGTAATCCCAGCACTTTGGGAGGCGGAGGCAGGCAGATCATGAGGTCAGGAGTTCAAGACCAGCCTGGCCAACACTGCTAAACCCCATCTCTACCAAAAAACACAAAAATTAGCCAGGTTACAGGTGTGGTGGCAGGCACCTGTAACCTCAGCTACTACTGGGAGGCTGAGGTGGAAGACTTGCTTGAACCTGGAAGGAGGAGGCTATAGCGAGCTATGGTCGTGCGACTGCACTCCAGCCCGGGTGAGAGAGTAAAATTGTGTCTCAAATCAAAAACAAAAACAAAACAAAACAAAGTATTCTGTGCATCTAGGCTGTCAACAGAAATTTTTCTCTGCTTTATTTATATTTCATATATACTTTTTGAGATAGTTTTGCTCTTGTTACCCAGGCTGGAGTACAGTGGTACATTCTCAGCTCACTGTAACCTCCACCTCCCGGGTTCAAGCAAGTCTCCTGCCTTAGCCTCCCGAGTAGCTGGGATTTCAGGCACCCACTACCATGCCCAGCTAATTTCTGTATTTTTGGTTGAGCGAGGTTTCACCATATTGGCCAGGCTGGTCTTGAATTCCTGACCGCAAGTGATCTGCCTGCTTCCTAAAGTGCTGGGATTACAGGCGTGAGCCACCAACTCCAGCCTGTTTTATTTTCTTTGGAACAGAGTTTCACTCTGTCGCCCAGGCTGGAGTGTAGTGGCGTGATCTCAGCTCACTGCAACCTCTGCCTCCCAGGTTCAGGTGGTTCTCATGTCTCAGCCTCCCAAGTAGCTAGCTGGGATTACAGGCACACACCACTCACACTTGGCTAATTTTTGTGTTTTGTGGTAGAGATGGGGTTTAGCAATGTTGGCCAGGCTGGTCTCGAACTCCTGACCTGAGATGATCCACCTGCCTTGGCCTCCTAAAGTGCTGGGATTACAGACATAAGCCACTATGCCCAGCTATATTTCATGTTTTAAATTAGAATACTTACTTGCATATATCTGTAGAATCCTGAGTTCCTAAAGCATATAAGGAAGAACCAATTCTATTGTAATCATCTGCAGCACCTAAGGAGAAAGTTTTAAGAATTTAGTATACTTTGATTTTGATTTAAAAATACTTGCTGAGCTCTTACCTGTTATACAACGTGTAATAAGAAACACTCTAGTAAACAAAATGACACAAACAATTGGCATGGTGGCTCATGCCTGTATTCCCACAACTTTGGGAGGCTGGGGCAGGCAGATTACCTGAAGTCAGGAGTTTGAGACCAGCCTGGCCAACATGGTAAAACACTATCTCTACTAAAATTACAAAAATTAGCCAGGTGTGGCGGCGCACACCTGTTATCCCAGCTACTCGGGAGGATGAGGCAGGAGAAATCACTTGAACCCAGGAGACAGAGGTTGCAGTGAGCCGAGACTGCACTACTGTACTCCAACCTGGGCGACAGAGCAAGACTCCGTCTCAAACAAACAAAAAAACAGATTGGAAAGCAAGAAGTATAACTTTTTTCATCAGTAGATGTGACATGATCATCTATGTAGAAAATCCTGGCCGGGTGTGGTGGCTCAAGCCGGTAATCCCAGCACTTTGGGAGGCCGAGGCGGGCGGATCATGAGGTCAAGAGATCGAGACCATCCTGGCCAACATGGTGAAACCCCGTCTCTACTAAAAATACAAAAATTAGCTGGGCGTGGTGGCATACACCTGTAGTCCCAGCTACTCGGGAGGCTGAGGCAGGAGAACTGCTTGAACCCGGGAGATGGAGGTTGTAGTGAGCTGGGATTACGCCATTGCACTCCAGCCTGATGCCTGGTGACAGAGTGAGACTCTGTCTCAAAAAAAAAAAAAAAAAAAAAAAGAAAATCCTAAGGAATCTACAAAATAGTTACTACAACTAATAAATGAGTTTATTTAGCAAGGTTGCAGAATATAAGATCAATATGGAAAAAAGATGCCACATTTCTATATATTAGCAAAGAATAAAATGAAATTGAAATTTTTTTTGAGATGGGATCTTACTCTCACCAGGCTGGTGCAGTGGTGTGATCTCCACTCACTGTAACCTCCGACTCCCTGGTTCAAGTGATTCTCCTTTCTTAGCCCTGGGACTACAGGAATGCGCAACCATGCCCAACTGATTTTTTTATTTTTAAGAGACCAGGACCGTCTCAATCTCCTGACCTCATGATCCACCCGCCTCAGCCTCCCAAAATGCTAGGATTACAGGCATGAGCCACTGCGCCCAGCCCTGAAACTGAAATTTTTAAAAACATAACTTTTATTTATTTGGAGACAGTGTCTCACTCTGTTGCCCAGGCATGAGCGTGGTGGCATGATCATGGCTCACTGCAACCTCAAGCTCCTGGGCTCAGGTGATCCTCCCCGCTCAGCCTCTCGAGGAGGTGGTACCACAGGCACATGCCACCATGGGTGGCGAATTTGTTTTTATTTTTGGCAGGGAAGGGACAAGGCCTGACTCTGTCACCCTGACTCTGTCATCTTGGCTCACTGCAACCTCTGCCACCTGGGTTCAAGCAATTCTCATGCCTCAGCCTCTTGAGTAGCTGGGACTACAAGGGCATGCCACCATGCCCAGCTAATTTTTAAATTTTTAGTAGAGACGGGGTTTCATAGTGTTGGCTAGGCTGGTCTCAAACTCCTGACTTAAGGTGAGCTGCTTGCCTTGGTCTCCCAAAGCACTGGAATTACAGGCATGAGCCAACACGCCCAGACTAATTTTTTTTTTTGGCAAAGATTAGGTGTTGCCATGTTGCTCAGGCTGGTCTCGAACTCCTGAGCTCACATGATCCACCTGCCTCAGCCTCCCAAAGTGCTGAAATTACAGGTGTGAGTCACTGTGCCCAGGCTAAAAAATCATAACATTTATAACAGCATCAAAAACCAAATAATCAGGAACCAATCTGACTAAAGATGTGTAAGATCTGTACAATAAAAACTACAAAACAGTGCTGAGATAAATTAACAAAGACTTAACTAAGTGGAGATATATTATATCAATGTATCAGAAAGATCAGTATTATTAAGACTTCAATTCTTTCCAAATTAATCTATAGAATCTACACAATCCCAATCAAAATCCCAGCAGGCACTTGCATAAAAAAAGACAACTGATTCTAAAATTCACCTGAAAATATAAAGATTCTCAGGCTGAGGGTAGTGGTTCACACCTGTAATCCCTCCCCTCCTTTGGGAGGCGGAGACACGTGGATCACTTGAGGTCAAGAGTTTGAGACCAGCCTGGCCAACATGGTAAAACCTCATCTCTACTAAAAATACAAAAATTAGCCAGGTGTGGTGGAATGCATCTATAGTCCAGCTGCTTGGGAGGCTGAGGCATGAGGACTGCCTGAACCCAAGAGGCAGCGGCTGCAGTGAGCCAAGATCACACCACTGCACTCCAGCCTCTAGCCTGGGTGACAGAGTGAAATTCTGTCTAAAAAAAAAAAGAGAGAAAGAGAGAGATGAGACCAGAGGCTGAACTTGGGTTCTGGTAAGACGGCCGGGCTGCCCCACAGAATCATCAAGGAAACCCAGCATTTGCTGGCAGAACCAGTTCCTGGTATCAAAGCAAAACCAGATGAGAGCAACACCTGTTATTTTCATGTGGTCATTGGTGGCTCTGAGGATTTCCCCTTTAAGGGAGGGACTTTTAAACTTGAACTATTCCTTCCAGAAGAATACCCAAAGGCAGCACCTAAAGTATGTTTCATGACCAAAATTTATCATCTAATGTAGACAAGTTGGGAAGAATATGTTTAGATATTTTGAAAGATAAGTGGTCCCCCAGCACTGCAGATCTGCACAGTTCTGTTATCAAGCCAGGGCTTGTTAAGTGCTCTTAATCCAGAAGATCCATCAGCAAATGATGTAGCAGAGCAGTGGAAGACCAATGAAGCCCAAGCCATAGAAACAGCTATCGCGTGGACTAGGCTATAGGCCATGAATATTTAAATTGATCCGGTTATGAAGTATGCATCACCTCTCTTGTTCTGCTAGGACTTCTTCCTTTTTGTTTGCATTTAACGGACACAGTCTTATAAACATTACAGAATAAAAAAGCCCAGACATCTTCAGTCTTTTGGTGATTAAATGCATGAAAGAAAGAAGAAAAAGGAAGAAAGGAAGGAAGGAGGGAGGGAAGGAAGGAAGAGAAAGAGAAAGAGAAAAGAAAAAGAGAAAGGAGGGAGGGAGCGAGGAAGGAGGAAGGAAAGAAGATAGAAAGAGGAAGGAAAGGAAGGAAGCAAAGGAAAGGAAGGAGAGAGTGAGGTAGGGAGGGAAGAAAACACAGACTCTAGGTCTGGGGTGGAAAGAAGGAAAGGAGGAAAGGAGGGAGGGAGGGAGGGAGGGAGGGAAGGAAGGAAGGAAGGAAGGAAGGAAGGAAGGAAGGAAGGAAGGAAGGAAGGAAGGAAGGAAGGAAGGAGAAAAAAATAGACTCTAGGGCTGGGGGCAGTGGCTCACACTTGTCATCTCAGCACTTTGGTAGTGCCAAGGTGGGCGGATCACTTCAAGCCAGGAGTTTGAGACCAGCCTGGGCAATATGGCAAAACCCCATCTCTAATAAAAATGCCAGCATTAGCTAGACATGGTAGCACACACCTGTAATCCCAGCTACTTGGGAGACTGAGGCATAAGAATCACTTGAACCCAGGAGACAGAGGTGGCAGTGAACCGAGATCATGCCACTGCACTCCAGCCTGGATGACAAAGTGAGACTGTCTCAAAAAAAAAAAATTGGAGGCTGAGCACAGTGGCTCATGCCTGAAACCCCAGCCCTTTGGGAGGCCAGAATGAGAGGACTGCTTGAATCCAGGAGTTCAAGACTAGCCTGAGCAACATAGCGAGACCCTGTCTCTATCCCCAACCCCAATAACAACAACAAAAATTAGCCAGGCGGCCAGGTGCGATGGCTCATGCCTATAATCCCAGCACTTTGGGAGGCCGAGACGGGCGGATCACAAGGTCAAGAGATGGAGACCATCCTGGCCAACATAGTGAAATCCCGCCTCTACTAAAAATACAAAAAAATTAGCTGGGTGTGGTGGTGCACACCTGTAGTCCCAGCTACTCTGGAGGCTGAGGCAGGAGAACTGCTCGAACGCAGGAGGCAGAGGTTGCAGTAAGCCGAGACTGCGCCACTGCACTCCAGCCTGGTGCCTGGCAACAGAGCGACACTCCGTCTCAAAAAAAAAAAATTAGCCGGGCATGGTGGTGTACACCTGTGGTCACGGCTACTCAGTAGGCTGAGGTGGAAGGATCAATTGAGGCTGCAAGGAGCCGTGTTTGCACCAATACAGTCATCCTGGGTGACAGAGCAAGACCCTGTCTTAAAAAAACAAAAACAAGAATAAAGCTGAATGAAGGACACAGAAAAGATGTTGAACTTTAATAGTCATTAGGTCAGTAGAAAAATAAACCGCACTGTGTTACCACCACTGACCTATTTCAATAAAGTTATAAAGACTTTGGATTGTACTGTGGGGGAAAAAAAAGACTGATTATCTTTGTTGGCAAAGATGTAGAGCAGTTGGAACTCTCATGCCCTGCTCATGGGAATGCAAAACGGTACAATCATTGTGGGAAACATTTTTGGCAGCTCTTTTTTTTTTTTTTTTTTTTAAGGTGGGGTTTCTCCATGATGGCCAGTCTGGTCTTGAACTCCTGACCTCAGGTGATCCAGCCACCTTGGCCTCCAAAAGTGCTAGGATTTCAGGTGTGAGCCACCACGTCCGGTGAGTTTCTTAAAAAGTTAAATATTCATTTCCCATGACTCGGCCATTCTACTTCCAGGTATTACTCAAGAGAAATGAAAGCACAAGTCCATACAAAGAGTTATATACAGATGCCTCACATAAATAGTATCTGTAATAGCCAAAGCTAGAAACAAATAATTTTTGTGTATCCATACAATGGAACACTAAGCAACAAAAAGAATGAACTACCGATATACACAACAACTTGGATGAATCTCAAAATAGTTTTTTTTGAGTTTCAAAGACAGATAATAAAGAATACATACTGTATGATTCAATTTATACAAAATACTAAAAATACAAATCAATCTATAGTGACAGAAAGCAGATCAGTTGCAGTCTGGGGGTAGGGCAGGAGGTAGAGATTTCAAAGGGCCACAAGAAAACTTTGGAGGTGATGCACAGATTCATTGTTTTGATTGTGGTGAGGATTTCACACATGCTGAAACTCAAAGTGCCCACTTTGACTACTGCAGCTTACTGATATCAATTGCCCTCAATAAAGCTATTAAAAAAAAAAAAACCTCACTGGTTTATTTTGCACTTTGAGTGGTTCTCTTACATATGTGATTTTGTAGCATTATGCACTTGGCTGTTTGGAAAACACTGGTCCAATGAATTATTCAGATGTTCTAAGTGGTGACACGCTTCAATGTAGAATTTTTTCAAAAAATCACACTCACTAGTTCACCATCTAAAGACCTCTAGACAGGTCTTTATAATTACTGGGAAGCAAAATCATTGTGAGAGATGTAAAGTTTTACAAAATTCTACTTATTGCTTGAAAAACTGACTTCTCACTGGCAACAAACACTATCTCTGTTTTCCTTGAAATAATTTATTGATTTTTGGCCAGGTTCCTCTAACTTAAATAATTAGTTGATTTTTGAGAAAACATTTGCCAAATACTCATAGTTTGTCTGTCAGTCATTCTTTAAAGTAAAAGTAGTGTTCTATAAAAAAAACTAGCTAGTTCAATCATAACTCCATCACTAAAATGCTTTTCTAGAGAGAACCGTCATACTTCAGTAAGTCGCCAAAGTGCTTTATGCATACCTTCTATTTCATCACTCAGAATATTTTTAAAATGTATACTCAAAGGAAAAGATTACAATTAATTTTTACTGTTTAATCAGGGACATTCTTAAATGAAAGTCACATTTTTAAAACATTGCAAGTGCATGGCAGGAAAGAATATAGAGACTAGTCCAGTTTGTTGCCACTGCCTTGATTTGTACTTAGGCAGCACCAGCTTTATCATCCATCATTTGTGTAAATGTCAACATGGTGAAAAAAGAGAAAACTATTATACTATCATTATAAAAATAGTTGTGTTGTTGTTGTTATTGTTGTCTAGAGTCTCACTCTGTCACCCAGGCTGGAGTGTGGTGGTACAATCACAGCTCACTGCAGCCTCTACCTCCCAGGCCCAAGGCATCCTCCCACCGTAGCCTCCCTAGTAGCTGTTACCACAGCTGTGCACCACCACATCTGGCTAATTTTTTGTATTAGGTTGGTGCAATACAGAGTCTCACTCTGTTGCTCAGGCTGGTCTTTAATTCCTGAACTCAAGTGATCTTCCCGCTTCAGCCTCCAAAAGTGCTGTGATCATAGGTGTGAGCCACTGTGCTCAGCTGAAAATAATTTTGACTTCACAGACTCAATATAAAAGGGCCATGAAGCCTAGGCTCCAACTGACCACGGTTTGAGAACGACTGTTCTATATTAAGACTTTTTCAAACTATAATAGAAACTTTATAATTACTTCATTAAAAGATATAAGCTTTAGCCACAGAAAAATCTTACTTTTGTGGGATCTTGTCATTCTATCAGATTTAGCAGATGCATCCTTAACTCGGTTATGATATTCCAAAAGAAATGTTCGTTCATGCTCAAAGAAATCATCTACATCCTATAAATCAAAAGAAAATATAAACTTTCTTCACTTAATCTGCTTTAACTTAGTATGTAAATCACTTTATCATTACAAATATAAAAGACCATCAGTAAAATAGCACAGCTATCCTCTAATAATCAAATGTTATACTAATTTCACCAACAAGCTACAACTTTAATAGACATGCATTCTATCAAGAAATCATCTATGATTTTATAACTGAAGGCTTAGTGATAACCACTTTATTTTTTGTTTTTTGTTTTTTTTTTGAGACACAGTCTCACTCTGTTGCCCAGGCTGGAGTGCAGTGGCATGATCTTGGCTCACCGCAAGGTGAATCACTTCTGGGTTCAAGTGATTCTCCTGCCTCAGTGTCCCAAGTAGCTAGGACTACAGGTGCGCACCACTACAGCCAGGTCATTTTTGTATTTTTTAGTAGAGATGGGGTTTTGGCATGTTGGCGAGGCTGGTCTCAAGCTTCTGACTTAAAGTGATCTGCCCTCCTCAGCCTCCAAAGTGCTGAAGTGCTGGGATTACAGGCATGAGCCACCACACCCAGCCTCACATATTGTACCCTGAAACGTTCTGATTTGTGCTCTGCCTCTCCAATTTTGCCTCTTCAGTAAACATATTATTGCCAGCAGAAGTGATCAACTGCTTTGAAGGAAAAAGAAAAAAAAAATTCTACTGAACAGAAATGAAAACCAGTTTTTCTTGGCCTGTTAAGTATTTTATTGGCCATTCCTGAAGGCTGCCTAGCTTTAGTCATTAAGGCCCTTTCTGATTGCACTGAGGAACTATCTGAGAGCAACAATATGATTAACCATTGTCTTCAATCTTTTTTTTTAAACAAAGCTATATATACATTAAAAATAAAAATTACTATCTTCAGACAGAGTCTTGCTTTGCAATCCAGGCTGCAGTGGTGCGAACATGGCTCACTATAGCCTCAACCTCTCCACCTCAAGCAATCCTGACAGAGTATCCGGGACTACAGGTGCATGCCACCATACCAAGCTAATTTTTCTATTATTTGTAGAGACAGGGTTCTGTCATGTTGCCCAGGCTGGTCTTGAACTCCTGAGTTCAAGTGACCCATCTGCCTCAGTCTCTTAAAGTGCTGGGATTACAGGAGTAAGCCACTACACCTGGCACAAAAATAAAAATTAACAGTACTTTACCCCCTTCTACATTAAAAATCATTCACTGAAAAAGCATCAGCTGACAGGACATAACTGAAGACTCATATCAACAGAACACAAGCACCAAGAGTCATTACTGACAAAATATCATTAAAATCTGTAATTCAGCTGGGTACAAAAGTTCACACCTGTAATCCCAACATGTTGGGGAGGCTGAGGTGAGCAGATCACTTGAGCCCAGTAGGTCAGCCTGAGCAACATGGTGAAACTCTGTTTCTACAAAAAATACAAAAATTAGCTGGGTGTGGTGGCATGCCCCTATAGTTCTAGCTACTTGGGAGGCTGAGTTGGGAGGACTGCTTGAGCCTGAAAGGCAGAAGTTGCAGTGAGCTGACACTGGGCCACTGCATAGCAGCCTAAGGCGAGGCCCTATCTCAAAAAACAAAATAAAATACAAATATTAAAATAAATTCACAATATTTAACAGTCCTCTTGACTATAAAAATGTGGATACAACTAACTGGCAGAGTTGTTGTAAAGATTAAACAAGAAAATGTGGGCTACCAATCATCATAAATATTCAAAAATGTTATTACCTGGCTGGACGCGGTGGCTCACGCCTCTAATCCTAGCACTTTGGGAGGCCAAGATGAGTGGATCACCTGAGGTCAGGAGTTCAAGACCAGCCTGGCCATCATAGTGAAACCCCATTTAAGAAAAAAAAAAGTTATTACCCTACTAATAAAATTATCAAAAATCATAATCAACATAGTGGTTTTTATATTTAATAGCTAAAAAATGATATTAATGCAAAAGCAGCATCAAATGGAAGTAACGTGAGTCCTTATTGGAAAGCAGCCACAGCACATGCATTGTCAAGTATCCACTGACCTGTCCAGAGTATAAATCAAATAGTATTCTATATACCAACTTTATTATGGATGTGTCTATAAAAAGAGGCAATGATGGGCCAGGAGCAGTGGCTCATGCCTATAATCCCAGCACGTTGGAAGGCCAAGGCGGGCAGATCATGAGGTCAAGAGATTGAGACGTGGTGAAACCCCATCTCTACTAAAAATACAAAAATTAGCTGGGGGTGGTGGCGCACGCCTGTGGTCCCAGCTAGTTGGTAGGCTGAGGCAGGAGAATCACTTAAACCCAGGAGGAGGAGGTGGCAGTGAGCCTAGATCGCGCCACTGCACTCCAGCCTGGCACCTGGTGAGAGAGCGAGACTCTGTCTCAAAAAAAAGAGGCAATGACAAAGCAGCATCCCTTTTTTTTCCTAGTATTTGCTTGCTAATTTAAACATTTTTCTCATTAAAAAGACTGAATGAGATAATACGTGTGGAAAACACCTAAATTTTTCTTAATGATGTTCTAAAAAATGATACAAGAGTTGATTTATCTGAAGACTCTTACCATTAAAATATAAGTCAGTAAGGGAGGTAGTATTAGTAACACCATTGTGAAAATGGAAACACTAGCCAGCTGTGGTGACTCAAGCCTGTAATCCTAGCACTTTGAGAGGCCGAGGCAGGTGGATCACGAGATCGAGAGTTTGAGACCAGCCTGGCCAACATGGTGAATACAAAAATTAGTTGAGCGTGGTGGTACGTGCCTGTCATCCCAGCTACTTGGGAGGCTGAGGCAGTAGAACTGCTTGACTCCAGGAGGTTGGAGGTTGCAGTGAGCCAAGATTGCACCACCGCACTCCAGCCTGGGCAACAGGGCAAGACTCCATCTTGAGGGGAGAAAAAAAAAAAGAAAAAGGGAAAACTGAGATCCAGAAAAAGGAAGTAACTTTTCCCAAGAACATGTAGCTCCCTTGAAGCAATACTGAAACTCAACTGGTTTTCAGTTGAGGTTTTTCCCAGGGGGGATTGGGGAGGGTCAGGGTCTCACTCTGCCACCTAGGCTGGAGTGAAGTTGCATAATCTCAGCTCACCGCAACCTCCGTTTCCTGGGTTCAAGTGATTCTCCTGCCTCAGCCTCCCAAGTAGATGGGATTACAGGCACATGCCACTACCATCCAGCTACTTTTTGTATTTTTAGTAAAGATAGGGTTTCACCATGTTGGCCAGGGTGGTCTCGAACTCCTGACGTCAAATAATCCACCCGCCTTGGCCTCCCAAAGTGTTGGGATTACAGGCATGAGCCACCATGCCCCGCCTCAACAGAGATCTTCTAACTCCAAAGCTGAACCCAGGTCCGCTCCTAACATTTCCAAGGCTAAATGTTAAATGTAAAAACAGAGACAGCACCTCTTGCTACACTCTGCAGCTCTGCCTGTCCTGCATCTAGGAGGACTTCACGTGCATATGGGTGGACATTCCAAACTGCACAATGTCCCTCCCGTCTACCTAGCTGCCCCATGGTCACCCCTTAACCATCCATGGAATACACATGAATGGCATGAACTAAGGAAGATGCCCACATAGGAGTTGCAAGGCTTGGGATTTGGGTAGGGAAATATGGGATTCCAGATACCTGGAACCTGGTCTGATGTGAAGGGAAGAGGTATGGGCTCCAACTGGGCAAATTCCCTTTGCTGAAGACTTCTAATCTCTTGCAGAAGGAAACTCTCTAAAGAGAGGAATCCAAGTCAGGGGGATTCCTCCTGTTCCTAGGGCTAAAAATTCTAACTGTCCAAACATCTTTTACTCTAATCCTGCACATTTGTTTTCATTGATTTATTTTTTAAGATGGAGTTTCGCTTCTGTTACCCAAGGTGGAGTGCAATGTGGTGATCCTGGCTCACTGCAATCTCTACCTTCCAGGTTCAAGCAATTCTCCTGCCTCAGCCTCCCAAGCAGCTGGGATTACAGGTGTGCGCTACCACGCTCAATTTATTTTTTGTATTTTTAGTAGAAACGGGGTTTTAACATGTTAGCCAGGCTGGTCTTGAACTCCTGACCTCATGATCCACCTGCCTTGGCTTCCCAAAGTGCTGGAATAAAAGGCATGAAGTATCACATCTGGCCAATTCTGCACATTTGAAATTTCAATCTATCTACCCTTTAAAGGAAGCCTCAACTAATAGCGCAGTTAATCAAATAAAATCTTACCTTTACTCCTGAAACAATTACTCCATCTGCTGATTTAACCATGTTTTTAAAGAAATCTTCAAGTTTCTCTTTTTTATTTTTTCCTCGCACACTCAACTAAAAGAAAGGTAACATAAGTTAACATTTTTTAAAGTTACAAATGGAAAGCAGTGCCTCCTTTATTCTTTGATATTTAAACAGCAAACTCAAAAGGACTCTAGTTTTTTTTTTAAGACGGACTTTTGCTCTCATTGCCCAGACTGGAGGGCAATGGCACAATCTGTGCTCACTGCAACCTCTGCCTCTTGGGTTTAAGTGATTCTCCTGACTGAGCCTCCTTAGTAGCTGGGATTACAGGCATGCATCACCAAGCCCAGATAATTTTCTATTTTTAATAGAGACAAGGTTTCTCCTTGTTGGTCAGGCTGGTCTTGAACTCCCGACCTCAAGTGATCCACCCACCTCAGCCTCCCAAAGTGCTAGGATTACAGGTGTGAGCCACAGTACCTGGCCAGGACCCTTGTTGTTGATCTTAATAAAGTAGCAATTTTATCATGTGTATCAATGATTTTCAAAGTTTAGGGCACAAAAGCTTGGTAATAATATAGATATTCAGGACTCACTTTCAAAGATTCAGGTTCAGTTGGTCTACAAGAAGGCCTAGATATTTCACATTCTATGAGCATATCTGATCATTCTGTTGCAAGCAGCTCTCTCACCATATTTTGTCAAACACTACTATATAAAATTTTAATACACAATTAAAATGTTAGCTCAGGAGTTCCTTAAAATATGTGAAATTTATTGGGGTACAACATGGCCACTGTGTAATGACGCAATAACTTTGAATATATATACTATACATTCAGAACTCTGTACTCATCCAAGTATCTCTTGTCTGGTTTTCGGGGTCAGCAATTTACAGCAACAAGGGCCACAAAAAGATGATGTTGAACAACATGAATGGTTATCCAAGGGCAAAACCAACAAGCAGCACCTAACTGACTCCTAGCACTTGCTGCATCAGGGTACCCATAAAGGAGCAACCCATCTAATTCCCATATATACTGCCATTGCTTCAATGCCCACCTTTATTAAATAACTTATAAATCTCTGTCACTACCTGCTATGGTCTGAATATCTAAGTCCCCCTAAAATTCAAATGTTGAAAATAAATTTTTTTTTGAGATGCAGTCTCCCTCTGTCATCCAGGCTGGAGTGCAGTGGCATGATCTCATCTTACCACAACCTCTGCCTCCTGGGTTCAAACAATTCCTCTGTCTCTGCCTCCCGAGTAGCTGGGACCATGGGCATGCACCATCATGTCTATTTTTATATTTTTAGTAGAGATGGGATTTCACCATGTTGGCTAGGGTGGTCTCGAACTCCTGACCTTAGGTGATCCAACCACCTTGGCCTCCCCAAAGTGATGTGATTACAGGCGTGAGCCACCGTGCCTGGCCCGTATCTTGAAAATTAATTCCCAAGGTGATATTAAGAAGAGGTAGGCCGGAGCCAGGCATAGTGGCCCGTGCCTGGAGTCCCAGCTACTTGGGAGGCTAAGGTGGGAGGATCATTTGAGGCCAGAAGTGTGAGACTGCAATGTGCTACAAATGCACCTGTGAATAGCCACTGTACAACTATTATATACACAGCTGTACACAGCTGCATATGTATAGCCCAGCCTGGGCAATACAGCAAGACTCCATCTCTTAAAAATAAGTGAGGCTTTTGAGAAGTGATTAGGACATGAGGGTGGAGGATTCATAAATGGGATTAGTCCTTATAAAAGAGGCTGAGGGAATTTGTTAGCCTCTTGCCCCTTCCTCTGCCATGTGAGGGCACAACAAAAAGGTGCCACCTATGAAGCAGAGGGCCCTCACCAGACACCCAATCTGCTGGCACCCTAATTTTGGAATTACCAGTCTCCAGAGCTATAAATGATATACTCTGCTGTTTATAAATTACCCAGTCTAAGGTATTTTGTTATAGCAGCCAAACAGACTAGGATACTATCCATAAGCTCTTTCCTTAACCTTATATGTTATATCCAGTTGCCCACATCATTTCCTTACATAGACACTATAACTGTAACCTCATATTAGATGAGTCTAACACAGTGCTCCTTATAATCTAATATTCGCGCTGGGCATGGTGATTCATGTCTGCAATCCCAGCACTTTGGGAGGCCAAGGTAGGTGGATTACTTGAGGTCAGGAGTTGGAGACTAGCCTGGCCAACATGGTAAAACCTCGTACCTACTAAAAATACAATAATTAGCCAGGCACTGGTGGCTGGCACCTGTAATCCCAGCAATTTGGGAGGCTGAGGCGGGTGGATCACCTGAGGTCAGGAGTTCAAAATCATCCTTGACCAACATGGTAAAACCTCGTCTCTATTAAAAATTCAAAAATTAGCTGAGTGTCGTGGCAACCGCTTCTATCCCAGCTACTAAGGAGACTGACGTAGGATAATTGTTTGAACCTAGGAGGCAGAGGTTGCAGTGAGCCGAGATTGTGCCACTGCACTCTAGCCTGGGCAGCAAGAGCAAAACTCTTGTCTCAAAAAAAAAAAATTGCCAGGCATGGTGGCATGTGCCTGTAATCCCAGCTACTCAGGAGGTTGAGGCAGGAAAATCACTTGAACCTGGGAGGCAGAGGTTGAAGTGAGCCAAGATCGCACCACTGCACTCCAGCCTGGGCAACAGAGTGAGGCTCCTGTCTAAAAAAACAAAAAAATCTAATATCTAAAATTTCTGTCTTCCCCCTTTGATTTGTGACCCCTTCATCCCAACAGTCTCTCTGACTCCAACATGTTCCCTAAAATTCCATAGCTCTCATTAAATCTTGAAATATCTACAACTTCTTCCTTTCTCGCCAGCTCTAATTCTACCAGCAAATGACTGAAAACTGTCCCTTTCCACTCCCATTTTCCTAGAAGTATTCATCATCTCTTTCCTAGACTACTATATTGAACTATTAAGTTAATAATTCTCACCTTATTCCAATCCATTCTGTTACCTGAGACAGCTTTCCTAAATCAAATTTTGAGTATCTCATCCTTACACAAAAACCTTTTTTTTTTTGAGACAGAATCTCATTCCATCACCCATGCTGTGGCATGACCTTAGCTCACTGCAATCTCCGCCTTCCACATTCAAGCAATTCTTATGCTTCAGCCTCCCAAGTAGCTGGGATTACAGGCAAGCACCACCATGCCCAGCTAATGCTTGTGTTTTTAGTAGAGATGGGGGTTTCACCATGTTACCCAAACAGGTCTTGAACTCCTGGCCTCAAGGGACTGCCTTGCCTTGGCCTCCCAAAGTGTTGGGATTACAGGTGTGAGCCACCACACCCAGCTGGCCTCTTTTCCCTCCCTCACTTTCTCCTTCCCTCCCTCCCTCCCTCTTTCTCTCTTTTCTTTCTTGCTTTCTTCTTTTTTTTTCTGTTTCTTCTTTTTTTTGGAGACAAAGTCTCGCTGTTGGCCAGGCTGGAGTGCAGTGGCGTGATCTTGGCTCACTGCAACCTCCGCCTCCCAGGTTCAAGCAATTCTGCCTCAGCCTCCAGAGTAGCTGGGACTACAGGCGCCCAGGCACCCACCACCACACCCAGCTAATTTTTGTATTTTTTAGTAGAGACAGCGTTTCACCATGTTGGCCAGGATGGTCTTGATTTCTTGACTTCGTGATCCACCCATCTCAGCCTCCCAAAGTGCTGGGATTATAGGTGTGAGCCACCGCACATGGCCTTGTTTTTTTCTTTTAACAGAGACAGGGTCTCACTATGTTACCCAGGCTGGTCTGGAACTCCTGGGCTCAAACAATCCTCCTGCCTCAGCCTCCCTAAGTGCTGGGATTAACAGGTGTGAGCTATCACACCTGGCCAAAATTCTTTGATCTTGAGGTTAACCTGTAAGTAAATAAGCACTATGCTATATTTATTTTCTGCGAAAATTATGAACGAATCTTGTCATCCAAACACAGGTTCCAAGATGTGTATCAGCCAACCAGTAAAAAATGTTTCGCCAGCACTACGAACGAAGAAATCTTTAAAGCTCAACCACCTTGGCTAGATGCAGTGGCTCATGGCTGTAATCCCAGCACTCTGGGATGCTGAGGAGGGTGGATCACCTAAGGTCAGGAGTTTGAGAAAAACCTCGCTAACATGGTGAAATTCTGTCTCTACTAAAAAAAAAAAAAAAAAAAAAAAATTAGCTGGGCATGGCGGTGCGCACCTATAGTCCCAGCTACTCAGGAAGCCGAGGCATGAGAATCACCTGAACCCTGGAGGCAGAGGTCACAGTGAGCCGAAATTGTGCCACTGTATGTCAGCCTGGGTGACAGAGCAAGACTCTGTCTCAAAGAAAAGAAAAAAAATACAAACATTCTGGCCGAGCGCGGTCGCTCATGCCTACAATCCCAGCATTTTGGGAGGCCGAGGCGGGTGGATCACAAGGTTAAGAGATCGAGACTATCCTGGTCAACATGGTGAAACCCCGTCTCTACTAAAAATACAAAAATTAGCTGGGCATGGTGGCGCGTGCCTGCAGTCCCAGCTACATGGGAGACTGAGGCAGGAGAATTGCTTGAACCCAGGAGGCAGAGGTTGCGGGGAGCCGAGATCGCGCCATTGCACTCCAGCCTGGGTAACAAGAGTGAAACTCCATCTCAAAAAAAAAAAAATTCTAAAAAAAATGCCTTGAGCCTTTTCTAACTACTCTTGCCTTTTCCAATGACTCTCTAAAAAGAAAACTTGATCACCAATCAACTTGATACTCACATCTTGATTATATTCCAAGAAGACATGGAAATTTAAATCTTTTCTCAAAATAGGATGTGCTGCCACACGACACAGGAACACTTCATGCATCGCAACTGTCTTCTTGAATATTGCCAAATATTCACTAGAAGCAATACAGAAAATTAAAGGTAAACAAACTACATCAATTAAAAAGTCACCTGCAACAATTTTTTTCAGAAAATACTCTTTGGATGATTCCAAATGCAAAATCAGAGATACAAAGATATAATTCATGTAAACAAGGGTTTTAGTTGAACTGTCAATGAAATATATAAAACCCAGCTTTGAAAAAGATTTCATTCCAGTTAACAATATTTATATCTAAATGTTAATATTTTTAAGTTTCACAAATTTTTCTGACTATGCAAGTTGATGTTAAAGTTAACTATAGGGTTGTTTGTTTTCAGCTCTAGAGAAAGTATTCTACAAATTATCTGACAGAATCTTAATGATTCAATAAACAATTACTGCTTTTAAACAACTTAGTACAAAAAAAAAAACAAACCCAAACCTCAGTGAGCATATTTTCAACATTAATAATTATTTTCATCTAATTACCCAAACACACAAGAAACACACTATGAAGAAACTTATTTTTGTTTGCCATTACACCAAAGAATTGTGTTTAAAATATTTTAATACCAGTAATGAACCCCAGAGACCACAAAGTAATACATGTCAGTTTGAAAAACAAAACAAAACAAAATTCAAGGAAAAGGCCTGATATTCTTGCTTCAACTACGTGCAAGAAGGATAAGTTTTACATACCAGCAAACCAGCAGGACCAATGTTGGGAGAAGTTTGATCTCTGTGAGGGTAGTCATTCAGTGAAGACAAAAAAGAAGGATGCAGAGGATGGAGGTAGCAGTAGAATAAACCCAAGGTTCTCTGTTATCCAACCCCTAACCAGACCACAAAAGAATCATGATCAGGGCCTCTGGAAAATCACAGATTCTTCAATATTAATGTGCTCTGCTCATTTCCAATTTTCAGTCTTATAAACTTTGAATACATATCTGTCTGCTCTCAGACCACTGCTTGTATCCAAGACCTGCTTTACGATTTATCTTATCAAGAGTTGAGCATTCTGAAGAGAAGTCTAGCAGCAGTGTGAATATATAACTAAAAACTGAAACTAGTGGAAGACAAGAAGAAGAAATGCATGAAGGGGAGAAATGACAAGAAAAAGTGACAGAGGTGATGATAATGCAAGGAAAATTATTTCCTTGGACAACTCTCAAATATACAGCAAATCCAAAATTATTCCAAATGTTTAATAAAAGGGGAAAGATTCTGTATGCTCAGCAAATACACTAAATATGAAACATTGGTTGAGTATCCCTACCTGAAAATCTGAAATCCAAAATATGCTAAAATCTGAAATTTTTTGAAAAAAAGACACGATGCTCAAAGGAAATATTTACCAGAACATTTCAGATTTTTGGATTAGGGATGTTCAACCAGTAAGTAGAATGCAAATATTCACATATAAATAACTAAAAATCTGAAATGCACTCCCAGGCATTCTGCATAAGGGATATTCAATCTGTACATAATTTCTCTTTCTTCTTTTCTCTGCCTGTGGCTTCTGCCCAAAGGGGAAAGAATATAGAAGCGAAGTAACCAGAGAATAGTTAAAACTGTTTTCACTAAATGACTTTTAGTTTCATATATACTAGAAATGTATTAGATCCTCGCAAAAACTGTGATAATTCACACACATACATATGCGCTTTTTTTTGAGACAGTCTCTCACTGTCGCCCAGGCTGGAGTGCAATGGCATGATCTCAGCTTACTGCAACCTCCACATCCGGGTTCAAACGATTCTCCTGCCTCAGCCTCCCAAGTAGCTGGAACTACAGACGTGTGCCACCATGCCCAGCTAACTTCTATTTTTAGTAGAGACAGGGTTTCACCATGTTGGCCAGGATGGTCTCGATCTCTTGACCTCGTGATCCGCCTGCCTTGGTTTCCCAAAGTGCTGGAATTACATGCATGAGTCACTGCGCCCAGCCACATATGTATTTTTAAGAAAACAGAATATATGCAAAGTTGCTCAGTACATTCTCTTTTGAGAAATATGGTAGTTTGCACGTACTAAAAACAGAGAACTAGGTTGGTGGTGATTGAGGATTTGTAAATAGAAAAAAACAAAACAATGTCTATTTTGCTTTAAAAGGTCATGTTCTCAAGGCAGCAAATCACACTACCATGTGTGTACCTATGCAACAATCTTGCATGTTCTTCACATGTACCCCAAAACCTAAAACACAATAAAATAAATAAATTAAAAAAAAAAAAAGTCATGTTCTCTATTTCTTTTTCCCCTTAAATTCAAGGATAGATTGGACCTTTTAAGTTTTTAAAAAAAGCTTTTGGATCTTCTGCTTTCAACTTTCAGGGTCTATTTAAATATGAATTTAAATAATTTTACAGTGGAGACAATTATTCTATAATTTTCCTGTAGGCTCTGATCATGATCATTAATACTGGTTGTATGACTTAAACCTGCATCTTCCAGAAATGGTCTCCGTGGTGAAACAATTAAAATGATGGCATATCAGAAAGTACCAAAAAAGGCATTAAAGCAAGCACAATTAACAGAGGCAACAACTACCACAAAAACAAAACAAAACAAAAAACCACATACGCTTCCAGTTCCTGTTTCATTTTTGTGAATTCTTCCTTTGTCATGGATCCTTCTCCTTCTCCAAGCTTCTGTAATTTTTCCCTTGAAGCATCAAAATCAGGTCTTGGTGGTGCTGGTGGAATCTGTAACAGAACCAAAACAGAACTAATTTTAAGGAACTATTTCATTTTTTGAACACTGTACTACTGCCACCATAAAAGACTGTCTGAGAAAGGTAAGGGTATCCAGAATGAGCTGAACACCAGGAATACCCAATTCATATTGGAGAACTTGACTAGTTCTAGAAATTAAGAGTTCTGAGGTCCTTTATACCAAAGAAGAAATACAGCATAGGACAACTTTCTAGTATTAGAACAACAGTTCTAATTTCAATCTGCAGACTCCTATAGCAACCCAGAGTCCTAAAATTCATGTGTGTACTAAGCTCTAACTACAGACTGAATATGTATAATACGCATATTACTTTCACAAACTATATAAATAATATGATTAAATACAAATGAATTTTTTAAAATTAATGAACTAGTAATTGCTTTATGCTTTTTTTTTTTTTTTTTTTTGAGACATAGTCTCACACTGTCACCCAGGCTGGAGTGCAGTGGTGGGATCTCAGCTCACTGCAACTTCTGCCTCCTGGGGTCAAGCGATTCTCCAGCCTCAGCCTCCCAAGTAGCTGGGCCTACAGGAGCAAACCACCACACCCAGCTAATGTTTGTATTTTTAGTAGAGATGCAGTCTCACCATGTTGGCCAGGCTGGTCTTAATCTTTTGACCTTGTGATCCCCCTGCCTCTACCTCTCAAAGTGCTGGGATTACAGGCATAAACCACTATGCCCAGCCCACTATTGTGTTTTTTAAAATTAGTAATAATTAATTAAAAAGTTTAAAATTAATGAATACATTACAGTCCAGCAAGGGATGTTAAAACAGGTCCTGGATTGGAGGAGTGTACCAGAAAGAAAAAACTGTTTTAAAAATAAAAGAACAAGGCTGGGCGCGGTGGCTCACGCCTGTAATCCCAGCACTTTGGGAAGCTGAGGTGGGTGGATTACCTGAGGTCAGGAGTTTGAGACCAGTCTGACCAACATGGCAAAACTCCGTCTCAAAATTAATTAATTAATTAATTAATAATAAAAATAAAGGAACAAGACACATTAATGAGTAACTTCATTCTATTCATCCACAGTCAGGGGGTAGGTAAGCAATTATCTTAAATAAAGATATAAGACCAAGAAGAGATATATCATTCAAGAAAAAGATACAAAAAAAAAATTATCTTAGGAGGAAAGGAGTATAAATAAGAACTGTTGGCTGGGCATGGTGGGGGCTCATGCCTGTAATCCCAGCACTTTGGGACGCCAAGGAATATCACTTGAGGCCAGCATAGGCAAAGAGTGAGACCCTTCTCTATAAAAAATTTTTGTAAATTAGCTGGGTGTAGACATCTGTAGTCTTAGCTATGGAGAAGGCTGAGGCAGGAGGATCACTTGAGCCTAGGAGTTGGAGGCTGCAGTGAGCTATGCTTAGCACTGCTATAATCCAGCCTGGGTGACAGAGCAAGACCTTGTCTCAAACAGGAAAAAAAAAAAAAAAAAGAGTGGCAGCCACAAGGATGGAGATGAAATCAGGTAATAATAATTAAAAAAAAAAAATCAAACAAAACTAAATTTTAGAAATCTGAATGTGGTTTCAGATTTCTAAACAGCTGAGACATGATAACCATCTATTCTCGATTATAACATCTGATACATATTTATTTTAATTTATTATTAAATTTTTTTTTTTTTTGGTAGAGACAGGGTTTCAACATGTGGCCCAGGCTGGTCTTGAGCTCCTGTGCTCAAGCAATCTGCCCGTATTGGCCTACCGAAGTGCTGGGATAAACAGGTGCAAGCCACCATGCCTGGCCACATCTGGTATATAATAAGATTAGGTAACCTGAGGCCGGGTGTGGTGGCACATGCCTATAATCCCAACACTCAGTGAGGCCAAGGTGGGTGGATCACCTGAAGTCAGGAGTCCAAGACCAGCCTGGTCAACATGGCGAAACCCCATCTCTAACCAAAAATTTAAAAATTAGCTAGGAGTGGAGGCATGTGCCTGTAATCCTAGTTGCTTAGGAGGCTGAGGCATGAAAATTGCTTGAAACTGGGAGGCGAATGTTGCAGTGAGCCAAGATCATACCACTGCACTCCAACCTGGGTGACAGAGGAAGATCTTTTTTTTTTTTTGGAGACAGAGTCTCACTCTGTTGCCCAGGCTGCAGTAGCTGGGATTACAGGCACACACAACCACACCCAGCTAATTTCTGTATTTTTGGTAGAGACAAGGTTTCACCATGTTGGCCAGGCTGGTTTTGAACTCCTGGCCTCAAGATGATCCACTAGCCTCAGCCTCCCAAAGTGCTGGCATTATAGGCATGCCACCGCACCTGGCCTAGATAACCTCTTAAAGAGACTTCCAACTCTTAAGTATCTGTCCAACTACGGTTTTAAAACCAGTATGGTTTGTAACATCTCCTTAATCCCTAGGAAAAGCTCATTTCAATTTTAACAAACAGTTAAGAATTTAAGTTTAAATGAGGGAACATAACATACCCCCACATCCCCTAAGAAAACAATTCAGGATAAAAGGTGGTAACCAAACATGTTTTGTAACCGGCAATTAAAAAAAATGTGACAGGCTGAGTGTGGTGACTCATGCCTGTAATCCCAGCACTTTGGGAGGCTGATGCAGGCAGATCACCTGAGGTCAGGAGTCCGAGACCAGCCTGGCCAACATGGTGAAATCCCGTGTCTACTAAATATCCAAAAAAAAGTTAGTAGGGCATGGTGGCGGGCGCCTGTAATCCCAGCTACTCAGGAGGCTGAGGCAGGAGAATCTCTTGAACCCAGGAGGCAGAGGTTGCAGTGAGCCGAGATCGTGCCATTGCACTCCAGCCTGGACGACACAAGTAAGACTGCGTCTCAAAAAAACTAACAGTTCACAAAACATGCTAAACAAGATTCCAAAACACAAACAAGTATCTAAAACCTCCTAGAAAATGGGATTAAATGGAGTCTCAATACTTACAATATAACCTGCATAGTCTTCATTTTCAACAAAGGAATCATGAAGCCAGATAAATTCCTCGTGTTGCCGAACAACGGAAAACTCGTTTTGTTTAAAATTTGGCAATGAACTCTGTAAAGATAGAGATTTTCTTGAATAAAAATCAAATTTACACTAAAAAGGTTTTTGAAACTGGGTCTTGCTCTGTCACTAGGCTGGAATGGAACAATTTCGGCTCACTGCAGCCTCAACCTCCCAGGCTCAAGCAGTCCTCCCACCTCCGCCTCCCGAGCAGCTGGGGCTACAGACACATTCCACCACACCTGGCTAATTTAATTTTTGTAAAGGTGAGGTCTAAGATGAACTCCTGGACTCAAGCGGTCATCCTGCCCTGGCCTCCCAAAGTACTGGGATTACAGGCATGAGCCACTGTGACTGGCCTTAAAAAGTTTTTAATAAATATTTTCTATCATTTAAAAAAAATTTTACCTTATTTCAAGACCATCAACGCCCTTTAAAGTATATCATAAAACCCTGAGATATCTAGACCAAATTTTCTTTGGACTGTTAAGAAAGTAGGCTGACAGACTCTTATACCGTACCGTTACCACTACAGTTACTTAAAAGTTATGTTAGGCTGAGCACAGTGGCTCATGCCTGTGATGCCAGCACTGTGGGAGACGAAGTGCATGAATCACCTGACGTCAGGAGTTCGAGACCACCCTGACCAATATGATGAAACCCCATCTCTACTAAAAATATAAAAATTAGCGGGGTGTAGTGGCTTGCACCTATAGTCACAGCTACTCAGGAGGCTGAAATAGGAGAAAGGCTTGAACCCAGGAAGCAGAGGTTGCAGTGAGCCAAGATTGTGCCACTGCACTCCAGCCTGGGCAACAGAGTGACACTCTGTCTCAAAAATAAATAAATAAAATAAAATAAATAATAATAATTTGTAAGGCAGTAATTTGACTAACAGAACAACAAAATTAAAAGTAACAAGAATGGTAAAAGCTACTAGTAAAAATCTGGAAAAAAATTACATTTGCTTTCTATCTAAGTTCTGATTCTCAGAATGCTAATCTAAAATGAAGTACATTTCCTATAACTATTTTTGTTAAAATAGTCTCTTTCCAATTACGTTTAAAACCCAAGTCCCAGTCAACATATCACATAGGTAGTTAACAAATGGCTAAAATAATGGAAGTACAACATCACGTTTACCTTTGTGTGAACAGTGAATTTTACTTTATCCCGCTCACTAAGAGCATCAGAAATGTCCACCTGCAGAGCAGCATCACTTTGAAGATCTACATTTATTGCTTTAAGCTAGGAAAAAAAAAAAACAGTATCTTAATGAAAATAATGTGCTTTTATATAATTTCATTTTTTTCTCTCAGATAGGACAATGCAAAAACAAAACAAAAATAACAAAAGATTATTAGGTCTAAAGAAGTACTCAAAACCATTTAACATACATTTTTGGAGCAGGTGCTCTGGGCAACGCGTTATCTTAATTCTACAGTATTCAATTCTAGAATTGTCATTCTATAGTATTCAACTATATTCTGCTTTATGTAACTCACTGAGCTAATCAGGATTCGTTATAGTTTAGTTATAGTTACTTATTTATTTATTTTTTTGAGATGGAATTTCGCTGTTGTTACCCAGACTGGAGTGCAAGGGCACGTTCTCGGCTCACTACAACCTCCACCTTCTGGATTCAGGCAATTCTCCTGCCTCAGCCTCCCGAGTAGCTGGGACTACAGGAGTGTACCACCATGCCCAGTTAATTTTTGTATTTTTAGTAGAGACGGGATTTCACCTTGTTGACCAGGATGGTCTCGATCTCTTGACCCCATGATCCACCCGCCTTGGCCTCCCAAAGTGCTGGGATTACAGGCGTGAACCACGCGCCCGGCCTACAGTTTAATGTAAAAAGGAAACTCTTTTCAGCCAGATGCGGTGGCTCAGGCCTGTAATCCCAGCACTTTAGGAAGCCAAGGCCAGGAGTTCAAGACCACCCCAGGGCAACCTAACAAGACCCTGTCTCTACAAAAATAAAAAATAAAAAATTAGCCAGATGTGGTGGTGTACACCTGTGGTCTCAGTACAAGGGAAGCTGAGGCAGGAGGCTTGCTTCAGCCTACGAGGTCAAGGCTACAGTGAACAGTGATCATGCCACTGCACTCCAGCCTGGATAACAGAACAAGACCTTGTCTCTCAAAAAAAAAAAAAAAGCAAACAACAACAACAAAAAACCTAAGGAAGTGGTCCATCTAAGTTCAAGAGTTCTAAAATTAAGGAACAAGTCTGCCTTGAAGCACAAGAAAATAATAAAAAGACTATCAAGCAACAATTTTAATTCTTACCTCTTTATATTCAGGAATATACATAGAAACTATCAAATATAATTAAATATATTAAAGTGCTAAGAAAGTAACTTCATAAGCTACATTTGAAGAAATGGATATGTTCCCTATTCAGTGCTTCTACTTTCTCATTTATAAGAAGACTCTTCTATTTATGATTTGTAAACTTCATCTGTTTTTCTTACTCTTTAAACAATATTTTAACTTGTTTCGGTAATTTTGCAGCTTAGGTAAAGAGTCAAAACACTAAAAGGTAAGTCTTAGCAAGCTGCAAAGACATGAAATACATTGTTTCAAAGATAGTACTCTAGGTGTAAAACCACCCCGTCTCTACTAAAAATACAAAAAATTAGCTGGGCATGGTGGCTCGTGCCTGTAATCCCAGCTACTCAGGAGGCTGAGGCTGGAGAACTGCCTGAACCCAGGAGGTGGAGGTTGCGGTGAGCCAAGATCGCGTCATTGCACTCCAGCCTGGGTAACAGGAGCGAAACTCTGTCTCAAAAAAAAAAAAATCTCACCTAGTGGGAGTGGAGCATTACACACTGGGGTTTGTTGGGGGGAAATAGGGGAGGGACAGTGGGGGTTGGGGAGATATAGCATGGGGAGAAATGCCAGATATAGGTGAAGGGGAGCAAGGCAGCAAATCACACTGCCACGTGTGTACCTATGCAATCTTGCATGTTCATCACATGTACCCCAAAACCTAAAATGTAATTAAAAAAAAAAAAAGAATCTCACCTAGTCATTAGTATCTCAAATTTTAATCACATTTTAAATGAAAAAAATGCTGAACGCAAAGCTGTTTAATCAATTATTTCAAACGTATGTTGGGGTGTGTGTGTGTGTGTGTGTGTGTGTGTGTGTGTGTAACATTTTACTTTGTTTTGGGGATGAGGTCTCACTCTCTTGCCCAAGTTGGGAGTGCAGTGGTGTGATCTCTGTTCACTACAACCTCTGCCTTCTGAGTTCAAGCGATTCTCCCACCTCAGATATAGGCACAGGCCCCCACACCCAGCTAATATTTGTATTTTTTGGTAGAGACAGGGTTTTGCCATGTTGGTCAGGCTGGTCTTGAACTCCTGACCTCAAGTGATCCACCAACCTTGGCATTCAAACTGTTTGACCTCAGGAACCTGAGATCAGCTTAGCTAACAAGGCAAAACCCCATCTCTACAAAAAATACAAAATTAGCTGGACATGGTGTTGCCCATCTGTAGACCCAGCTATTTGGGAGGCTGAGGTGGTGGGATGGCTTGAGCCCAAGAGGTGGAGGTTGCAGTGAGCTGAGATTGCACCACTGCACTCCAGCCTGGGCAACCAAGTCAAACCCTGTCTCCAAAAAAATTAAAAAGTAGGGCCAGACGAGGTGGCTCACGCCTATAATCCCAGCACTTTGGGAGGCCAAGGTAGGCAGATCATGAGGTCAGGAGATAAGACCATCCCGGCCAACATGGTAAAATACCATCTCTACTGAAAATACAAAAATTAGCTAGGCATGGTGGTGTGTGCCTGTAGTCCCAGGTACTTGGGGGGCTGAGGCAGGAGAACTGCTTGAACCTGGGAGGCGGAGGTTGCAATGAGCTGAGATCGCACCACTGTACTCCAGCCTGGTGACAGAGAGACTCCATCTCAAAAAAAAAAAAAAGAAAAGAGAGAGAACTCTGTTTATTTTTTTTAAATCACATTGAGGCTACTTTCTTTTTTTTCCCCTATTTCCTTTTTAAAATTTTTTTATTTTTATTTTTATTTTTTTTTGCAGGACAGAGAGTCTTCACTTTTAAATGATTATTGATACACCAAGTAATAACATGTAACAAGTTCTTGAATTCTATCATCTAGTAATTTTGGTTAAGAGAAACTAAAAGCAGCCCAATTACACTAGTATTCACTATTCTAACCATCAGCAAGAATGGACTACTTTAAGGCTGACTGCTGCTTCACACAGGTTATAAGTAACTATTTACTACTTTTTCATAGATAAAGCCCCTGACCTTCAAGAAAGTATTAGGGGAAAAAAATTATTTAATCCCTTCCTTTCTTCAAAGAATTGTTATGTGGTGTTTTTATAAAAACTAGATCTAAGAAAGAGAAAGTCAACACTGATATACATGTTGCTTGAGCCGAAAGGCATAGGAAAAAAGACAATATATGCCCATTAAATTCCTAAGAAAAATGAGGTAAAATGATGAAATTTTTAGGTAATCTAAGTCTGTACAAAAAAGCTAGATTTGCTATTCTCCAAAAAGTGGAAAGACCTACTACATAATATACAGAAATAATTTAATGCCATTTCATAAGAAGATAACTAGAGCTGTACTAAAGCTTCATATTCCATGAAGATCTAAAATGCCAATCCACAGAACAGGTGCTTCTCTCTTCTTTATCCATTTATGCGGTAGTTTTCATGGATTTCTGGCCGAATGTCACAGACAAAAGCCAAGAGATTATCCAAGACTTCATCCCTGTTCTACCGAAAGTAGGTCTGGAGGATGGTCATCTTCTCCTGGGTCTCCTTCTCCACTTCGGTGCTGCAACTGCCATGGGATCCCAGTGCCGCAGCTTCCTTGGCCTTGAACTCTTTCTCCCTCTGCAGGCGGTACTGTTCAATTTCAGCCTGAGCTGCTGCTTTGGCCTGCTTCAGCCTCCGGTTCTTTCTTTTGCGGGCCTCAGACACCTTCTCGGCAGCCCACTTCTCGGCCGCCCGCTTCTCGGCCTGCAGCAGCTGCTGAATCCCCTGCGACTGACTGGCCATGGCGGCAGCGAGTCTGAGCAAATTTTTTTATTTTTAAATAGAGACAGGGTCTACCTATGTCACCCAAGCTGGTCCTGAACTCCTCAGCTCAAGCAATCCTTTCACCTCGGCCACCCAAAGTGCTGGGATTATATGCGTGAGCCACTGAGCCCAGCCAGTTTATTGTGATAGGCTGAATAATGGCTCCCAGGAAGTATCTATATCCAAATTCCAGGGAACAGTAAATGTTACCTTATATGTCAATAAAGGACTTTGCAGATGTCATTCAATTATGAATTTTGAGATGGAGATTTTGAGATTATCCCGGATTATCCAGGTGGGCCTTACATGCAATCACGTTTTTTTTTTTTCCCCCCTGAAATGAAGTCTCACTTTATCCCTTAGGCTGAAGTGCAGTGGCACGATCTCAGCTCACTACAACCTCGGCCTCCCAGATTCAAGTGATTCTCCTGCCTCAATCTCCCAATAGCTAGGACTACAGGGGTACACAACCATACTCAGGTAATTATTATCATTATTTTTGAGACAGACTTTTGCTCGTTGCCCAGGCTGGAATGCAAATGAGTGATCTCGGCTCACTGCGGCCTCCGCCTCCTGGGTTCGAGCAATTCTTCCTGCCTCAGCCTCCATAGTAGCTGGGATTACAGGGGTCTGCCAACACGCCCTGCTTATTTTTTTGTATTTTTAATAGAAATGAGGTTTCACTAGGTTGGCCAGGCTGGTCTCGAACTCCTGACCTCAGGCAATGCACCCACCTCAGCCTCCCAAAGTGCTGGGATTACAAACGTGAGCCACTGTGCCTGGCTTAATTTTTGCATTTTTAGTAGAGATGGGGTTTCATCATGTTGACCAGGCGGGTCTTGAACTCCTGACTTCAGGTGATCTACCCACCTCAGCCACCCAAAGTGTTGGGATTACAAGTGTGAGCCACCACGCCCGGTCAGCACAGTGGCGCAATCTTAGCTTACTGCAACCTCTGCCTCCCAGGTTCAAACAATTCTGTTGCCTCAGCCTCTCAAGTAGCTGGGAGTATAGGCGTGTGCCATCACGCCCCAGCTAGTTTTTATATTTTTGGTAGAGATGGGGTTTCATTGTATTAGCCAGGATGGTCTTGATCTTGCAATCCACCTGCCTCAGCCTCCCAAAGTGGTGGGATTACAGGCATGAGCCACTGCACCCAGCCTATTGTTTTTTTGATAGCACAC